CACTGGAATAGCGCATACTGGAAAGCAAGCAGATGGGGAATGACACTGCCAGTCCTTACCTCCTGGCTAGGACCTTGTGCTCACTGCTAATGCAGGAAAAGGAGGAGGTGACATATAGAGGGTGAAGATGAAGTAAGTGTTCAGGATATATTCAGGAAGTACTACCCCAAAACAGGGATCAAATACAACTTGGCCAGGGTGTCACTGAACTTGGCAGACTTGGATCTGCCCAGCTCTGGGCACGTGTAGGTCGAGACGGATGGTCAGCAGCGTGTTAAGGCTCAGCCCCCGGGGATGGCACTGCCACTGAAGCACATGAGTTCCTGTTGCCAGGTGGCTCAATTAGCATGGCAGACTGCACAAGGTGATGAATTATGAGGAAGTCCCTAACTCCTGCCCTGGCTCTGCTGTACTGCATGACCTGATCTGTGGTCCACCCCTCTGTCCTCATTTATTTCAGCACAGTCATCCCCTTCTCATCTTCTCTCCCAGCAGGATGGCCTGGGCTCCTTATGTGACACCAGAACAGTGTTTTGCAAATGGATAGTATCCATATTATTATCAAATTGTCAAAGCAGACAGGACTGTGGTGCTTTGGTACAAACACCTCCCTTACGGCCATCGCTGCAGCCTACTGCTGCCTCATGCTCCCCAGAAACAATAAAAAAAAGGAGAAGGACACAGAGCAAGAGACAAGGCAATGACTGGCTCTTTACACGCTGCCACAGATCCATGCCCCAGTATGTAAAAAAGACCAGAAGAGAAACAGCTGACTTCCAGGTAAGGATAATACAGAAGCAGTGAAGGGCAAGATACTCTGGGCCATGACATCCTGGAAACACATCCCACCAGGCCTGTAAATGAAACCAGTATATCCTAGGGAGTGTAACTACCACACCTGTGACACCAGGGGTGCCCACCACAAAGCAGTGCATGAGTCAGGGGAGTTCAGTAGGACAAATCAGCGCAGGCAGCTCCTTGGCTACACTTTTTACCAGAGCCTGAGAGCAACAGCTGTGTCAATGCTGGTGATCTCACTGCATGCCAGAGGGATGTGGACTTGAGCTATGACAGACTGCATCATCCTCAATCACTTGATAGGCCTAAACCTGCAGGTCTGCTACTGGGAAACTTCATTGGCTGCTCTGTGGGGGGATGGGAGCTCTTATGGTCATACAGTTCTGGAAAAGAGCCAGTGCAGAGCTGTTTCTTGGGATTATACAGCATTCCTTGGAGGAAAGCTTGCTACCCTGCTGCTGGCTGTCTGAGGCTGAGAGCTGCCAGCACTAACACCAGGTGCTGGTGCACATCCTGTCTGTCCAACGGGGAAGGGACTATGTTTCATGTTACTCTTTTAACACCAATGAGGCAGTGAATTTAATTCAGAGTTCAGTTCAGATAAATGCAAAGCTTCAGAACCTGGACGTGGCCCCTGAATCAATCCTTTAAACTCAGCTTCCATGCTCCTGCTCCTTGAAATGTGGATCCAATAACAGGAACAGCTACTGCTTTGAAATTCAGGAGTATAAGGTGGCCTTCAAGGATTGCTAAGATTTGATAGCATGGTATTCTGCTAAGCTGGCACCGTATAGATTAGCTAATGCTCCTGACGTCTAAAGGGAAAGGAGACGACTTGTGATGTTCCCACTGAGAGGAATTTCCTATTTTTAGAAATGTTGCTGGTTCTCATGGGATGGGCAGGCTGGGAAAGCCTGCCACATCTTTTGAATCTTTACTTTTCCCCTCAAATGTGTGACAGAAAGCTGCTTCACTGCCTACTCCCTTCCCTGATCTTGCTTCACAGGTACCCCAGTCTGAGGGTGTTAAAACCTACTAGCAATGTAGGTAAGAGGAGCTCTCCTGTTTCCAGCTGTTAAGAAATTTCAAAGTCTCTTGGGAAATCTCTGTAAGACTCTCTCAGGTCTTGCTTCATTCCTAAGTGAAATCTGAGCAGGCTGGGAAGGTATAGAAGAGCAGGTGCACTTTGTTGTGTCAGCAGTTCTTAGCACTGTCTTATTTTCTGCCTAAAAACGACGTTATTGCTCTAGTTGCCTCCAAAATCAACTTGCTACCAAGGGCAGCTGGCTTGTAAGCTTGGTGGCAAAGGTGCCAGCCTCACCACTTCTTTCTATTCCTCTTCCATAGGAGCTAGGAGATGAGTACTCCCTTTCAAACACCAGCTTCCTTGAGATAAGCTCAAGGCAATGCCTGGCAGCAGCCCTTCCTAAACACAAGCACCTCAACACTCTTTTGACTCTTTCTGCTCCCTGCAGACAGAAATTGCTGGAGTTGTCCCAGCTTCAACAGAGCTGTGTTGATCTAAACCACGTGAGGATCTTGCCCTGTAGCTATTGAAAGGTCATCCAACCTGGCCCACATGACCAGTTTCAGTCTGTCCTGGATGCAAATGGTGACAAAGCGAGACCCCCATCTACACTGTACTTTTAACTGTTGCAATTAGGTCAGTTGACAAGTTGTGACAGCCCCTTTGTCTCGCTGGAGATGTGGCAGAGAAAATTCCTGGGATGGCAGAATGACCAGGAGATGGCTGTGCTCCATCTGGAGTTCTTGCCTCCTGGCAAAAGGGTTGAATGACCACACACTGTAGTCACAGGGCCAATGTGCAATGTGCCAATTTTTTGCCCCTAGTGCACTTAATTGCACTAGGTACAGAAAAGTTGTCCAGGAAGAACCTGTTTCACATGTTAAGACAGGTCTGCAGCTCTACAAACAGGTATAGTGTGCAAAAGTTTACAGAACTGGGACTCCCCTTTAGCCTCCTCAGCTGTTCTCAGATGTTTGGAGAGGCATTATTGGCTTGTCCCAGTGCTGAGCCCTGGGGAACCCCACTTGTAACTGGCTGCCAACTGGATTTAACTCCATTCACCACCAACCCTTGGCCTGGCCATCCAAACAGTTTTTTACCCAGGGAAGAGCACACCCATCCAAGCCATGGGCAGCCAGTTTCTCTAGGAAAATGCTGTGGGAAACAGTGTCAAAGACTTTCCTAAAGTTTAGCTAAGCAATATCCTCAGCCTTTCCCTCATCCAGTAAGTGTGCCACCTTGTCACAGGAGATCAGGTTGGTCAAGCAGGATCTGCCTTTCATAAACCTGTGATGGTTGGGTCTGATCCCCTGCTTGTCCTGCTGTGCCGTGTGATTGCTCTCACAATGATCAGCTCCATGACTGTTGCCCAGCACCAAGGTCAGGCAGAGAGGCTGCAGAATGGGACACCAAGACCCACTGGAAAGCTGACAGAAATTTTTGCAAAAGGAGGAGCAAGAAGTGCCAGTGTACTTTGCAGAAGGATATTTTTAGTTCTGTAAATAGCTGAAAAGTAGGAAAATCTTGCAATATATGTCAGGGTTTGAATTAGTGAGGAGACGTGGGAAAGGGGCTTGAAATGGGTTTATTCTGACTCATCTTCAATTTCTTCTTTTTTTTTTTTTTTTAAATAACCAAAATATTTCCTTCTAAGCAAATCTGCTTCACTGTGATAGTTCTACAAGAGAACTGATTGCTTTCAGTGGCATTTTTAAACTGGAAAATGTTTACACCATGTAATATAAATTTTTGTTTATCTCTATAACACTTTCTGCTGAAGGGAGGAATGCTTCCACAGCATATTTTCCAACCTTCTGATGAAGGCTGGTGCACCTTGGAATTTATGATCCCCTAAAAGTGCAGAGACCTATGCTGAAAGAGGTTAATGTGAGTTTTCAACTAACTGTAGCTGTGCTTTCTTGATGCTTCCTTAGCTAAGGTCCCTGTGGTATAAGATCCCAGCAAAACAAACAAGACCTGCATAAGGTGGCTGCTCAATTAAAAGAGAAAAGGAAATTTCCAAGAACAATTTCAATGCAAAAGAGTGTTATAAAACTGGGAAAGTCATGAGTCATCTGAAATCTTAGGGGACAGAACATAGAAATATGGGAAAGGCCTCAGCAGTTTTGGGTAGAGCCTGTGCTGCTGAAACTTAATTGTGCATTGTTAACAGGGAGTGTGAATGAGAACTGATCTTCTCAAACCCGAACACTGAGATTAGTACTCTTGGCTTTCTTTCAATGCATAGCTACCAGCTTTATATAAGGAACCTTCCAGAAATGTGAGCTATGCCACTATTACCTTACAGAGTAAGAAACTGATCACGGATTTTAAAGATGTTGCTCATTTCAGAGGGTGAGTCTGAGACCGACCTCAGGAATTCACTAACAGACTGCACTATTCATCAGCAACTTTTACAAGGTTATGTAGTGACAGGACAAGGGGGAATGGCTTTGAACCAGAAGATAGCAGGTTTACATTAGATATTGGGAAGAAATTCTTTACTGTGAGGGTGGTGAGACACTGGAACAAGTTGCCCAGAGAAGTTGTAAACACCCCATCTCTGGAAGTGTTCAAGGCCAGGTTGGATGGGGCTTTGAGCATCTGGTCTCATGGAAGGTGCCCTGCCCATGGCATGGGGTTGGAACCAGAGGATCTTTAAGGTCCTTTTGAGCCCAAACCATTCCACGATTTAGTGTCCCCAGGATTTCCAGATTCCCCATTGCAATGGGGAACCTGGATGCCAATGGCTCTTAAACCCAATCCAGCCCAGCACCAGACTTAGGAAGCCTGGACAGTTCAAGAAACCTGTGAGGTCAGCTGGAAAGAAACCAGGCTGATTACAAAGGGAGCCTTGGCTATGAATCATCAGTGAGTCACCGAAAGCAAGTGTTTCTGCAAAGCAGAGAGGTATTAATTGACTCTCATGGAAATCTCTTCCACGGGGAAATACTGGACTGTGACACAGGTACTGCTGACCTTCTCAGTAACCTTCCCTGAACACATTTAAATTCTCTGCAGGAGATTAACAATGTCTCTTTGGACTCCATTTGCAAAGTCATGTTCCATCTCTTAGAGGCTCCTACTACTGCTTCTGTCTACAGCTTGTGTAGTTTGAAGAGTTCCTTTGGTGTTCACTACTAACATTTGGAAGAGAACTGAACTTGGGACTTACCTCTGCTAATTCTCTGCTTCTCTCCAGAAAGAATTCCTGGTGTATCAATGACGCTGATGCTCTCTAATACAGGATTAGGTAGCTGGGCACAAACGAACCTGTGTGGAAAATAAATGTGTTTAAAAAAAAAAAAGAAAAGGCAAAAGGTACTTATGATGTGCTGAACATCACAGGCAGCACAGGACAAGCCAGACTTTGATCTTGCAAGTCTTCAGTTAAGCTTGGAGCTACCGTTACTTAAAGAAATGAAAAAGAAGGTAGAACTAAGCATTTTTCTCTGATTACTTTGTTGCTTCTGGAACATGGGGCTCAGACGTGACCTATGGCAGGTTTTTTTACGAGGGCCCCCAAATTGTGAATTATGAAAATATTTGGGTTTTCGTTAATGTGCTGTTTTGATTTTAGCAAGAAGTGGTATTTGTTTTTCTTCACTTAAGCATTTCCCTGTAGAGTCTTGAACCCAAGTGAACTGAAATAACTTGGTTTTGAAAAGAAAAATCAGCAATCTTGTAGGACTTCTGTTCTCTTTCAAATCTGGTCTTAAACAGACAAAAAGTGTGCTATTCTTGTACCACTGAAATACTAAAGCATAGGCAGCTTGAAGAGGCTGCTTAGTCTACCTCAAGGTAGGATCAATCAGGTATTTGTCTGAAGTGTTCTTCAAATCTGTAACAACACAGACTGACCAACACTTGCTGGGAGTCTATTCCATTACCTAATAATCTTTACAGCAAACCCTCTTTTTTTTAATGTCTACTCTACAATTACCATGCTACAATGCCACTCAGTCACAAACTCAGCAGATGTGGAAAATGATTTATTTTTCCCCTCTTGTCACAATGTATACTATTGTCATCCTGCCTCCCCTCAGCCTTTCCTCTGTAGAAAACAGTTTGGTGGTTGTTTTTTCTCTATCTCCTATCTCTTCCAGTTCTCTCTAGCTGCCTTTGTAGCTCATCTCTAAATCCCTGAAGACCCTAGCAGCCTTCCTTTGGGTCCTCTCAAACTGTTCCACATATTTCTTCAGGCATTATGCCAGAAGCTGACATACTCCAGCTGTGACCTTGCCAGTGGTGAGCAGAGTAGATGGATTGCTCCTTATCTCTTACATATGACAGTCCTGTTTATGTATCTCAGTAAAATGTTTGCTTTTTTAACAGCAGTATGACAATGTTAACTTAACATTCAGTTTGTAATCTACTGCTCCCCCCTCTGCAGGTCCGTTTCTGTGTAATAGCTCTTTAGTTAGTTGCTCCCCATCCTGTATCTATGCAAATCACTGGCTAAGAAGAGGCACTTTGTGCTTAGTGGGTTGCAGCTCATCTATTTCAGTTGCCAGTAACAGCAAAGGACAGTAAAAGCCTATCCCCTTATGTGGCTCCCAGTAGCATTTCACGGACAGCCTTTTTGAGCTGGCATTCCAGGCAGCTATAAATGTGTGTGTGTATGCATATTAATAGGGTGGTGTGACATCCAAGGCATAAAAAACACTTTACTGTGGGAAGAAGCATAAACACATAAAGGATGGGGGCTGGGACAATGACCACTCTATCAGACATGGTAGACAGGGCCCTGCAGTGCTCTGATGAGTAGCTGGTTCTGCTGAAGCCCCTGCACTTCTGAACTCCTCTAGGCTGTGCTACAACCTCCCCCCAATTCTTCTACTTGTATGACTCCAAAGGATTCTGACAAGAGTGAATCCTCATGGGTTAGAAGAGTGTCTCCTCTCCTAAACTGTCACCTATTTCAGACCACATATTACAGCCTCTCTCTCTCACATCTACAGCTTGGCAGGTGGCAACAGAGTGCATTTCGGAATGTGTAACACCTCATATCGAAGAGAGGTACTGGCTTGATTATCCTGTTGAGTGCCAGGCACAGCAGCAGAGAACAAAAGGCTCAGGAGGTCATGTTATTCCCCTGTCCTGCCAACCCTGGTCTGCTCTCCATTGCTACAGCCCTGACTATTCCTCATGCTGTAATATTAAATGGCTTGGGCAAGGGGATTTTCCACCAGTTTCTCTAGGAAAAGTACTCCACAGGAGATTTCAGATATAAGGTCAGAGGCCAGCATGAGTGAGTGCATTCTGGCTCTGTTGGCAAGGTTGTTAAGGCTGCTGCCTTCCTGCTGTCCCAGCAGAACTGCAGGACCTCAGGGAGCATGACCTAATTCTGTCTGGGGCCATATGAAGGGTAGAACGTGGTGCCAAACCAGACTTTCACTACCTCCACAGGCAGAGCACAGGGCTGAAGGGGGAACCTGTTATCCATGATGTCTCCTGCTGTTGACAACACAAAAGCAGGAGTGACACCACCTTAGCTTCCCCAGACAGACTCTGGGGATGGGACACTCTCCAATCCCGACAATATGATACAAAAGTAATGGCTGAGATTCCTCATTTTGCTCCAGGCCCTTGGTGCCAAACAAGGCACCTGATAACAAGGTGCAACCTGTAATCTCTCTGCTGGGATCTCTCCAGAGCTGATGTTTGGCCAGCAGAGTTGGAGTAAGGAAAACAAGCCCTCCTCTCAATACCCAGGAACCACCTGGGGCAAGGAGAGGCAGACAAGAGACAGGATTCTGCAGACCTGCTATCCTCCTTTCAGCCCCGGGCAGCTTGTCAGCCGTACCTTGGCCCTATCTCCCAAGTATGGGCAGGCACTCCATGTCCTGGGAATGAAGGGAGGGAAGAGACAGGCTCTGAGCAGCACCATTTGCTTGCTGTCTCCCAGCCAAATCCTGACTCTATCACTTTTCCCTTGTTTCCTGGAAAGCAGCAGATCCCAGTCTCTGGTGGAGGTGGGCAGGGCTTCCAACTAAGGGTAGATGCTCACTCCTGGAGCAGCAGGCTCTGCATCCCACAGGACACAGTGGGCTGCCACCTCTCAGCCAACACCAGCTGGGCCTGTGTGAATGCTACTGCCTTGTGCTGCTCTGCTCCCTGCCACTGGTGCAGTCAAGCATTACCTTTAACCTCCCACGGGTAAAGCAGATGGACTTGCCCACAGCCACTCTTATCTCAGCTTGGAGGGGTGGCTCCTGGAGATAAGTTCCCTTCTCCAAATTCCCTGCTCATAGCCTCCTAGCTGAGGGCAGGACCTTGGCATACACATAGCAGCAGCAAGATACGTGCAAGGCAGAGATAGCTCTGCTTGTTTCCAGCCAAGAAGCCAGCCCCAGTACGTGTGGGCGGCTTGATCCGATCCAGTGGGTGCACCAGGACTTGCATCTGCTAAATTTCTGACCCTCCGAGTCAATTCTTGCATGTGTTTAATTTCCTCGTTAGCTGGGCATTACCATCTGCATTTTCAGCACTGCGATGCTCACACTGTCCATTTCTGTCTGTTTAGAAATCGTTACTCCCTTGCTTTTAATGTCAGCAACAAAAAGGTGTCGTTAGCTGCTACTGTCGTTAGCTGGATACTCCCTGCATTGCTAAAAGGACTGCACTTAGTCTGGTGCTGAATCACTGCTGTGTCCCTCTGCCCTGCTGTCCTCACAGGCACATGCTTGACTCCTTCCTCAAGAGAAGGAAGAGCAGCAGAAGAGTAACAAGAACACAGCATGATACAGTGAACTAGGTTAATGGATGCAGAGATCCCTTGCTGTATTAGGAGCAAATTGCATTCAGGACACATCAATCAGTCCAGTTCAGAAGCGTTTGCTTTTTTGCCCCCCATGCCTGGCCTGATGTTGCTTCTCTGTACTGCTGTTCTTGGCTCTCAGCAGAGCTGCTCTCAATTATGCCCTCTTCATTTACTATCTCTGCACTCCATGCAGGAGGCCTGTTATTTTCTTAGGGCAAATCACCCTTCTCCCCTGGTGTAGGGAGTGGCTAGTCACCTGTCCTAACTGTCGGTCAGACACAGATGTTCTGGGCCCAATAAAACATTCAAAACTTCTCAAAGTCTCTCTGGTGCAGGACCATGTTGGTGTATTTGATTGATGGCCCTGTGCAGTGATCAGATGCTGCTTCCAGAGTCCCCCTGAGGCACTGGGAGGTTCTCTGCACAGCAGCGACTCCAGCTCAGTCCCTCTTCTCTCATCAAGCTTCTTCTCATCTTCTCTGCAGGTCCCTTCCCTATCTGGCTGCAGCCTACGGCAGCACTCCTGTGGACAGTGCTGGTAGGAGATGCTGCGCCCCCTGGACAGACACTCTCTTAAGCTTGGAAGTTAAAAAAGGAGCCAGAGCCCAGCCCAGCTTTCCTGGCTGTTTGGCTGAGCAGCTGCCATGTTTCCATGTTTCCAATGTCTCCCACACTGTGTTAGCAGGGAAGGCGTTGATGATGGGTGTAGTCAGTTTGTTCCCATCTGCCTGCTGTAGCACAGTTTGTGCTCATCTAGGATATGGGTGTGTGCTGCTGGCTTCCTGCAGGGCCTATATCCCAGGTTGGGCTGGGTCTAGGGGATAGAAAGGTTACATTCCTTATGTCACAGAGCCACTGTCCAAAGCCCCTGCTACTTTTTTTTACGGGAAAGACACTAGAGCTGTCATTAGTTTGCACCTGAGGTTATATGTATAAGGCACAGAAATGAAGAGAGCCTGGTTTTGTTTCAAGAAGGACATTCAAGCAACGTTTAACAATGCAAGAAAGCAAAGATGTAGTTACTGTGTGCCAGTTCTACTCCTGTATGGACTTCAGGGACTATGGTTGGACTATTTGGTTTCAGGGACCAAACTGATTGCCGAATGGAAGAAGTTAGCAATACTGAAGCAAGGGAGAGCAAGTGTAATGAAGTTAGACTCCTATAGGATAAGCTTAACAGGCTGTGATGTCATTTTTGTTTTGTTTGTTCAAGTGAAATAAAGTTTTACCTCACTTGAATTTGTTAATCAGCCCTTCAGTAAGTGACTTCTGTGAACCTGGTAGGACTGGAATGGCTTTGCATCAGCCATGTGGATGGGAGGAAAAGAAGTGCAATGCCTTATCCCTTTAAATTACTAGCTATGCTGTTCAATAAGTTCTAGCTTTACTCTCCAGAACAAGTAAGTTCTTGAGTACTGACCTGTTCAAAAAGGCATTGCCAAAGGCGTTGAGTTTCCTGAACGGTTTTTTGGGATCCACCACCAAAGCGTTTCCAGGAACGATTCCTTCCACATCTCCTTGCATAACTGCTATAAAGGAGTCAGTTGTAGGCTCTGGTCCAATCCTCATCCCTGGGAAATCCTGCTCCAGCAGGTACCTGTAGGCAAAAAAATAGGGTGTGGGCATGAGACATGAGCTGCCTGAGTCCTAAATGAGTTGTACTGAAGATTGCAGGGTAATTATGAAGCTCAAGAGCATGGATCCTGCTGAGACTATTTTTAGCACTGTCAGTGAATTGTTTGATAAATGTCGTGGTAGCTTTTCTACTTAGGATCTCCACATTTAAAGCTTATTTAACGTGGATTAAGAAATTGAGATGATTATAGCTGCTGGGAAGAGACTCATCACATTGCATCATTTTGTGTACTTCAATCCTCAAGACATTTGGAACAGCCCTAGCACAGCAAAGTAAAAACAGCAGTTCACTGCAATCACAGACTTAATCCTGAAACCTCACCGGCCTTTGGTGCCAATATCAATTACTTCACTGCTGCTCATTTCAGCACACTCATCCAACTAATGTGCTTAGCCCCAAGTCCACTCAAATGCCAGCTTCCCTTGTACTTGACTGTTAAAGTCTCAAGCCTCCCTCCTTGTGCACTTCTGCAATGCAGCTACAGGTCTGCACTTACAAACTGCTCAAGCAGATTGAGCATTATGCACGTGGGTGGCGGAGTGTATTCTGATATTTGTCATCAAGCTAAATAGCACAGTAAGCACAACATCCCTTATTATTTCCTAAGCCTCTGGCAGCCTACCTGAAGGTACAGTTTGCCAAATATCAGGGAAAGATAGTTACCCATGGGGCTGGAGGACTTTGAATAAGACTCTGGCAGCACATCCTGACTTACCCAGCCAAATTCAGGGTGGGTCAACGGTATGTACATGGGATAGTTCCCTCTGGCTCATGAAGGAGCCAAATGCCATTGCTGAGGTCAGGTCTGTACACAGAAAACATCCCACCTGCTGATCCTGAACATTGAGTCCATGTGGCTTGCAAAAGATAGCTAGAACTGGTCTAGCCCTTGGTACAGGATGGTGTCAGAGCACCTGAGCTGGTGATAAGCTCTGGATAGTTACATGAAGAATAAAATGACTACCAGATTACAGAAGTTAGTACAATACTGTGTTGCTTGTTGCCAGAAGGTAGACAGCACTTCCTCTTCCATTGCTTTGACCTAAGCTTTAGTAGGTAGAAAGATAAATACAGAATTGCTGTGATGTTAGACGTAGATTATGGGGATGTGGAAAAGGAAGTGGGAGAAGGGCTGAAAATTCTTCATGATTGAGGCCGGTGTGTTTAACAACCAGCACTGGTTCACTCAGGTGAGTCTTATCAGAGAGGGAAGTCCCTGTGTGAGTGACTATAGGACCATTGCTATGAAGGCTTGTGATAACTTTTTGGGATTCCTGCTTTTACCATCATTTTAACATAGGTAATCACAATCCAGTGTGTAAGGAACAACAAAAAAATTGCGCTAGTTCAGACAGGCTATTTATTGACACCATGTCAGCAAATATTTCAGTTTCCCAATGGGCAAGGCCAAATCACTGGATCTAGAGGTAAAACAAGCAAATGTACACCCAGGACATACTGCAAGTCACATCCTTATCTGGCTTGGTACATGTCAATGAAGAGAATTGCTGCAGCTAGAGTAACTCCAGCAATGATATCCATAATTCCCTTAGGAGTCAATGACCTCCTTTATTGGTGTGTTATCATGTATTTTCTTGTACCTTTTATCCAAAGTGATTTCCAAGTCCCATGCTCATTAGAATGCCACCAGAAGTGATTCCTCTTAATTGCAGCAACTCTGAGATGCAACAGCAGCTGTTTAGCAGTTCCCAACAAAATTGAAATAATCCAGGAAGGATTCCAGGAAGGGAACAGCCCTCTGACCTCCTATAGTAGGGTGGGTACATCCTATCTATTTAAACCCTATGCAGGGGTTTCTCAAACTTCCCTATAAAAGTGAGTCATTACCTAAGAAAAGCAGACTGCAGGTAGTGCTGGTATGTGTCATCTCCCTGGCTGGTGATCACAGTACAACCTTCCTGGCAGCTACAGTAACTTCTCTCTAGCTTGAACCACCCCACAACTCCTCTCCCACCAAGGGCTGCGTAGACTATAATATGTTGTTCTTGGCTCCATTCCCTGGAAAGCTCTTTTACACTGGAACAAACATTTCCTAGGTTAGAAGCCACATGGCCAGACTCTGGAAACTAAACTTGTGCCTCCTGGATGGCAATTCAAACACTTGAGCCCAGTGGACATGGCTGCCATGCCAGTCGCTGCCAGTGGCTTTCCTCTGCTCCCGCTTTGTACGTCACTTCTTTTATGAGCCAAATACAGTAATAACGATATACAGATGGGAATTTACTAAATCCATAGATATAATCTTTGTGTTCTCCCCTTGCAAACATTATAAAGAAAAGTAACAGGTAGTGACAACAACTGCCAAATGCAACGAGTGAAGTGCTTTTGAGAAACGCCCCTTACTCCCAATGTCAGGTTGCAGCCTTGCCGTAACAACCACCTGCTTGTTTTTTACAGGTTTGAGATGCACATGTAATATGACAAGTTTTGAGCAGTAGTAGAAAATAGCCGGGGGTGGGGGGTTTGTTTGTTATTTATAGACAAAGCTTCCGAGAAAGTCTAACCAAAAGTGCTGCATATAACAGCAACACTCCTTCAAACAGGCTGCTTGAAAGAATTTCATCACAGCTCCACTCTGCTAATGTTTCAAAGCATTTCTGCATTTATTTCCTGTATAAGACTTAAAACAATACGAAGCAAAAAATCCCAACAAAAGCACTCTCATACAGAAGTAGCTACAAGCCAGGGTTAGTTGACTTAATGTGCAACAAGTGGTATGAAATCAGAGAGATGAAGATTTGCACTGCCCAGTATCACAGTATCTATTTTAAGTGAGGCCTCTCTGGGAGACTCGGGTACATTGTGCAGCAGGGTGTTGGCAGCACAAGAATCTCATTGTACATAGGACAAATACAAGGGGATTTATTGACACTGCCTGATGGGGGGGGAAGGCATTTCTGCTCAGCAGCGACACAGGCTGCCTCTGCTACCAGAGGCAAGCTAGAGAACACATGCAATTGTCACATTTGTGGGGATTTCTGGCACAGAAGAGCAAACAATGCTGTGGAAAACACCAACCAACAGCAAGCAATTTCCCCTGCCAGTGCTGCATGTCTTACGCTAAGCTGCTGAACACCTTCAAAGGCCTGGGGGAATAACCTCCAGCCAGGTTAGGGAAGCCTGCAGCCCCAGGCAAGGTGTGAATGGTTTATTTTATGACCAATCTGCTTTTAGAGAAGTGTCTGGACATGCTATGTGCTGGAAGCATCGTGCTGTTTGCCCATTTCACGCCTGTTCCTGATGAGGGACAAGGGCACGAAAGTTGCATTAGAGTCAGCCTGGTTTGGGACACCCTTTCCCAGGAAGGTTTGGAGCAGCATAGGAGACAGGCAAGGAGGTGCCGGGCTCCCTGGACAGGAATGCCGCAGGATGTGGGGGAAGGGGCTGCTTGCCCGTGATGAGTCATGCAGGAGCCCTGCAGGATGCTGCTGTGTGTGGCAGCAGAGGTGATGCCGAGCGGGAAAGGGAAGAAGGGCAGAGCAGGAGGAAATGGTGACAACTGCCTGCTGCAAGCAGAGATGAAAGGCTCAGGGCCACACAGGCAGGTCACACCAGAGCTCTGCGTGCAGCCTGTGACAAACAGCGTGGAGAGGCCGGGACGTGTAAATGATTAGCTCCAGGAGGAAGGGGTGGCAACACCAGAAAAGCAAGCCATGTTGACAGTTAGTATGGCTCTGGCAGGCTTGTTTATTTTATTAGCAGGATGGCTGGAGTAGAGCCAGAATTATTTTTAGAAAAGACCACAGAATCTAAGTTAATTAGAGGAGTAATGTTCTGTCCTGCACTCCCACCTCTTACAGGAAACATAAAAACCAATAACGTTATAAAGGCAGGCTCCAGTGACATCCTGCTGTAGCTGTCACATATTCCCAGGTAGAGGTGTTGCCTTGCCCTAACCAGGACAGCCTTTCAGACCACAGCTCTGTGGAAAAGCCTCAGCTAAGTGTATCCCGAGGAGAGAAATGGGAGTGAGTACAAAAAGAGATGATATAGCAAGAAGAAGGAATGGAAAAGCTGCAGTTAGCAACGCTACATCTTTCACATTGCAGAATAAGACTCAGTTCTGTGTCGGTGTAAGCAGAAGAGAGAACTGCCTGGTTCCACTGAAAACAAGCCAGTGCTCTGGTCTCGCTTCACTGGCTTTGACCCACACAACACACCTCCCTGTTCCCTGGCTCAGCCTCTAGGAATGTTTCTCACTGCTAACCTTGACTGCCTTCTTTCTGCCGTCAGCTCCTGACAAGGGAACAGCCTTGCTGCAAGATGCTGCAGCTTAGGTGCTTCAGAGCCTTGAATTCCCTCCTTGTTTCAACTCAGATTCCCCAAAACAAGTGAAGATGTACGGAAGATAGACCTCCCTTAGCTAGGTGACTAAGGTTCTTTATCTCTGTTTTTTAAATGGTGTCCTGGGATCCAGGTGAACTGGGACTGAGTTCATTCGACAGGAGTGTTTAGTGGCACTAAGTCATCTCCCTAAATTGCATGGCAGTACAAGCAGGATGCAATTTAAGAGTGGAATTACACATAAGGATAACACTAATTACCCCCATCCTGATGAGATTATGGAAGGAATGTCTAGAGGCTGTTTCTTGCTTCACTCTACTGCTAAGACATAATGGTTGTCCCCTCTCCCACTTCCTCCCTCAGTCCCCTTTAACTCCTCCCTGCTCTCAGCTTTAGCTCCCACTTGCCTTCCCACAATAACCCTGGTGCTAATCTGGTGCTTATCCCAGCTCTTTAATGACCAGTGCCTGCAAGCTCATGCTGGAAGCCTATCACGAGTAACACGTGGTTTTCTGGTACCTCCTGCCTTTGATTTGCAACATATTGGAGTGACAGACCCTCACACTCCTCCTACTATTAGAAGGCCCCGGGCTTCTCCAAGAGTTCTCAACTTTCACCTTCTTACGCACTATTTTAAACAAGAAGACTCTGCCTTCCTGGAAAGCCTTCTCAGGTCCATTTGGCAGAAGTTCCCAGTCACTTCTGCTTGACTCTGGGTAGGCTCATCCCAGCTCTGTGTCCAGAGAAGGCTGGGAGAAGAGGATACATGTATGAATGAAATGCAGTGGTCAGAGAGGCTCAGATCCACTTGCTGACAGCAGAGCAAAAACCCTATCTTCTCCTTTTGCCTAGAACATGCTTTAGGCACCTGAACTTGCAAAAGCAGCCGAGACTTACAGAAAAAGGACTTGACTGAACAGAGAGAAGCAAATCCAGGAAATCTCTGCTAACAGCAGCATGCAGGTGAGACTGCAGGGTAACAGTGATGCTGGCAATTCAGAGAGAGGAATTAGGAAGAGATGCTTTAGTTAGGCAGCCATATCAAGTACTCAGCAACCTCCTCATGTTCAGGCTCTGAGCATCAGTAACCCAAAGGACAGAAAAAGCTTTTCAAACAGGTTTGGTACCAAGTCACAGAACAGAGATTTAGGGTGGAACCAGACAGCTGTGCTATCCAACTAGCCTAATTTTCAGAAGAGTAACTAACTCTCTTTCCAAACATGTGCCAAATGCTTCTTTGGGTCATCCGTACCCCTTCACCATCTATCTGACCCACTCAAATGAGAAAGGCCTTTTTACTCTTACACTTTGTTTGCCAGGTACACTCCAATGTAGCAGAAATGCATTTTGTCCTTGGCTCCTGGCCAGGACATTTAGTGGCAAGAATATTACAGTACGTAAAAAAAACCCAAACAACTCTGCATTTCTCAAGGTCAGTCCTTAAGAGGTACAGTCAATTTGATTCACCTCTCTCTACAGCTCCCTCCTCCACCAAGAAATACTGGTAGAACAAAGGGCTGGCTGCCTGTGGCTTGTGTCCAGATTTACACTGGGGTAATTCCACAGATTTCAACACAGCCACACCAGAAAAAGGCTGGAATTTAACGCTTAGCTTATGAATCACATAGGAAACACAGACAGCGCAGCTTCAGCTATGATCCCAAGAGAAAGGCTTGCTGCAAGTTGAACAAGCAGCATGGCTGAAAAGAGATCCCTGCAACAAAGTCCAGCTGGAAAAATTTAACCCTCTTGGTGGCAGTTTTCTATCAGTGAAATGAAAGAGCTGCTGTCAGCTGCTGTTTCTTTACAGTTAGAAAGGAACTTGCTGCTCCCAGCACCTCAGCAGAGCAGGACACAGTTAAAGCAGGACTTTATTTCTGGAGCCTGGACGATGGGCAGGTCTCCCCTGTGCACAGGCACACATGCTTCTCTAACTGGGCTCTGAGCACTGCCTTTGGGCACAGGGCAGAGACAGACAGACCCAGGCGCGAGACAGAGGCCACTGCAAACCGAAACACCCACTTTAGGATTCCCTAGCTTGCCCCACCACCCAAAAGCTACGTCAGGTTGAAAAGAATGGCTATTAGCAGGGCCAACCCGGCCCGAGCGGCCACGGGAATACCCCGCGCGAGCCTTGCCCAAGCCTCTGCACTTTGAACGGCCAAGAGGGCCCCAAGTGACTCACATGTCCACACTCATGCCCTGCCTGCACTCCTCAGCCCTGCCCCGGGCTACTTTTTGCCACGTCGGTGTTTTATGGGACATCTTAGAGCACTGGTGCTTGCAAAGGAACGCTCCGCGTTTGAGTGAAGGGGACTTTTCAATGAAAACCTGTCGATGAGCACCAGGGACACGAAGGGGGTGACAGAAGGGGGATCAAGGCATAGCACAGGTATCAGAGACACGTCCTGCCCCACCACAGCCCGCGGACCTCGAGGGTGCGGGCACGCCCGTGCGGGAAGGCAGCGGGCAGCTGGATTTTACCTGATGAAGGTGGTCTTCCCGGTGGAGTACTGCCCCACGAGGAGCACCATGGGCTTGTTGTCGAAGTCGGCATCTTCCAGGGCGGGCGAATGGAACTCGTGGAACTTGTAGTGCTCTTCCAGCGGCAGCAGCTTTGTCTTGTAGAGCTTCTTCAGGCCGTCGCTGACCGTCTGGAACACCTCGGGGTCCTTCCTCCGGCGGTCGTCGGTCCCCAGCCAGCTGAACATCTTGGGGCCGCCTGACGCCAGCTCCGCAGCGACCACCGGGGCTGGGCGGGGGGCGGCGGGCAGGGCTGGGCTGGCTGCGGGCGCGGGCTACCCGCGCATCCCCCTCAGGCCGGGCGGGCCTCGCTCCCCTCCAGCGCCCACACGCGAGGGCCGCCCGCCCTCACGCCACCTGCGCCGGCGGTTTCAGCCAGAAAACAGTCCCCGCGGGAGGCTGAAGGAGCGGCTTCTCCGCGCAGCCCCGGCCGAGCGGCACCGGCGGGCGCCGCCTCCCTTCACGCCGCCGGCTCCCGGCGTGGGCATAGCGCGGAGGGGCGGCCCGCCAGGAAAGGGGCCGGCGCCGGAAGTCGGCGGCTCCTGGCAGGCGCCGCCCGTTCTCCCCGGCGGGTGAAGCCGCGCCGGGCGGCGCCATGTTGGACTGCGGGGAAGGGCCGGCTCCCACAGCGCCCCCTGGGGGCCGCCTCGGGGCTATGCGGCCCGGCCGCCATTTTATTCCCTTTCTCAAACTCACTTTAAAATAAACCTTAAAAATCCACTAAAATTAACCAGATCTGCGAGTGCAGATCTGAGACAGAGTCGGCTGTTTCTGAGAGCTGCCACCCCCAGCCTTTCACAGAATCACAGAAGGGGTCAGGTTGAAAGGGACCACAGCGGATCACCTGGTGCCCCCTCCCTGCTGAAGCAGGGCCATCCCAGAGCACACGGGACAGGATTGTGTCCAGACGGTTCTGGAATATCCCCAGTGAGGGAAACTCCACAACCTCTCTGGGCAATCTGTCCCAGTGTGCGGTCACCCAAAGTTCTTCCTCATATTCGGGTGGAATTTCCTGTGCATTAGTTTCTGCCCATTGTCTCTTGTCCTGTTGCTTGGCACTGCTGAGAAGAGCCTGGCTCCATCCTCTTGGCACTCCCCCCGTAGATATTTATACACATTGATAAGGTCCCCTTTGAGTCATCTCTTCAACTCTTCCTTCCCCAACCCCATGATTTGGCTGCACTGCTGCTGCCCCTCGCTTCCCGGGTGCTTGCGACTCTGGCCGTGCCTGGAGGAGTTCACCATTTAAGCACATGAGACGGGCAGATTATCTGCTGTCCCCTCTCCTTTATTCCTCCAGCAATGAGAGCTGACAGGACAGCCACCAGCAGCAGCCTGTGGCTCCGCATGTCCCCAGGGCCAGCTGTCAGCCACAACGCCCTGCTGCCAGGCTCTCCTCATCACCACTGCGCAGAGCAGGGTTTTTTCTTAGAATATTTCCTAATGGCTTTTTCACTTGAGTCCATCCCATGGGTCTGAGAAATGTGGCAAGAGGCAGTTTTGGAAGCTGTCCCTTCATGTGGCAGACTCCTGCCCTTTCCCAGCCATTTATGGCTGGGAGGAGCCCAGAGCTTGTGCAAGCAGAGGCAGTGGTGCATTTTTTTCGTGGCATTTTTTCAAGCTTTTTTTTTTTATGGGTAGGGGGACACATGGAGGTGCATGCAGCCCTGGGCCTGGAAAACAATCCAGGTCCATTTCTGTGCCTCTGGTTGCAGGAGCAGACACTTCCCTGGCTGTTCCCAGCCGCTCCTCCTGGCTGATCCCAGGCAGTTTTATACTCTGTGGCATGGCCTGACCCATGAGGTGCAAGGGATGACTCCAGGGACCAGTTTTCTTTTTCTGGAAGAACATAGCAAACTGACTGTATTTTCTGAAGGTCAGGGCTTTTCTGCTTTCCTGCCAATGCCTAGAGCTAATCTGAAAGTGGAACTGATGTTTTAAAACCTCCTTAAGACTAATTTCCCTCATTTATTTAGTTTTATAAATAGAGACTTTTGCCCTTAAGAATTTGATGACTCCTTTCCAGTGAAAACTCCTGAAAATGAAAGGCCCCATAGAATTCAACGTGTTTTGGCAAGAATTGCTCATTTTGTAGGAAAAAAAAAATCGCTTTCATCTTCTAGATAATTCTGCCATTTAAGGACTGTGCTCCTCCAGTGCCACTCTGGCATTTCTACAGCTATATATGGAGTCTCTTTGGTGCTTGCTTGTGTTATCCTCGGAGCCAAGTAAAGGTCAGGCCAGGAAGCCTTTGATTGTAAATCTCCCCAGGCCACCTTGATGCCCTTCCTGAATGCAATGAATGGGGGAGCAAGGCAAGGTTTCTGTTGTACAGGCTGTGGGAGCCGACTGCTACAGGTATGGTATGAGCACGCTTGTTCCCCATTTACAAGATGAGGATATTAATCATTAAATTGCACTAAGCATAAACATGTGTACTCAATGGCCAAAAAACTGTTTCCTTACCTTGTCTGAATAGAGTCCCATTCCTTTGGATTCGTTATCATCGGGGCAGATCACAACAAAACTTGACAGTCTTTATAGATTTTCTTTAGGTGTCTCACAAATATTGCACAATTTTATTTATTTTTCATTCTGTTTTCGTAGCCATTTGAGACTGACTTCCTCAAGAATGCTCTTTACCTTGAAGTATAGAGCTTGCCAAAAACAAAGGGAAGTAAAATTAGGAAAGGAAGTTTAGATTATAATTAGGGTTTTCTTTCTGCCAGAATCAAACTGAAAGTTTTAATCCATTTTCAGTTTTTATTCCTTTTAATTTCTTAAACAGGGGTGTTTTAATGGATGGTTTTCTGTTTGACAGGTTGGTCTTACAGTGCAATCTTTAGTAAGTTTTCTTTTTAAACAATTTACATTTTTTAAATTTTGCAAGTAGAAAAAGAACAAAACCAATTAAATATTTTTTTCCAAATGATGATTTTTCATTTGAAGTCACTGCTGGAAGAACAGTTGTTTTTCTTGCATGTTTTTTAGCCATTCAAATGTAAAGACTCTCTCTCGACTCCCCTGCACAGAAGTCACTCTAATACAGTGCTCAGGGCATACCTGTATCTGATACCAATGGGGGTCTGCAACTGTCATCTACTATTGAATTTGTATTTTATCTTTAAACCTGTGATGGATTAAACTTTTAGTTCTGTAGTTTCTGAGTCATGTCCCTGCTGTTGGTAACAGGGCTGGCAGTCACTTAGCTGGATGCTTGCCTTGACCAGGAGAGAGTGGCTTGCTGGAAAAGATTCACTTCCACTTTGCTGAAAGTCAGTGAGGCTGGCCTAAGTCACGTAGTATTTGCACTCAGAATGAAACTTTGTTTTTTGGGGTGAAACACAATGTTGTATAACTGAAACTCATTTCACGTGAAATGGTGACGTGTGTGTTTGCTTATCTGCTGCCTTAGGTTGGACAGGTTTACTTCCTACAAAAAAAAACATCTGAAGATGGAGACATTAGCAAGTCACTGAATTTGAAAAGAGGCGGTGACTCAGTCCATAACACTTCAACAGTTTCAAGAAGCTTGTGGGAGCAGTGTAGTTCAGTAATATTAACTTCCTGCCAGTGCAGTTACTGCCACTGTTTGTTCATTACCGAGTATGAAACCTGAGTAGATAGTGTCAAAAGTTCAGGTGGCGATGGGTTCAACAGGGAATAACCAGGGGTGTGGGAAAGGAAAGAGGGGAGAGGAAGGTGCAGCGGGCCCCCAGAATTAAACCAAATAGACTAATTTGATAAGTAAGGGAAGGAGAGTTTCCTCTGGTTCAGCTAGATCAAAATTCTCAACTGCCTGCCATATGGCCTATATAGAGACATATGGCCTATATAGACATATGGCCTATATAGAGACATAAAATTATCTCCAGCAAAATCCATCCCTTTCCTCACTCATTGCTTTGCCTTTACAACTCAGAAAGCTGCTGCCTTTCCCTCCTGCCCTCACTGCTTCTTCATATTCCTCTGAAATACTTCTCATTATCTTTCTCCCACCATTCTTCCAGGTGCCTTGGTACACACACACTGTACTTTTCCCTGCTCTCTCCATGATGCTCTTACCTCCTCATTGCCTGGAATGGAACAAGGTGCTGGTACCCAGATGTGCCTCCACAAGTGGAGAATGTGGGTTTGGATGATGTACTTACAGTGGGTGGGAAGCATGCTTGCTTCCAAAAAATTCATTCCTTGAAACTGTACAGCAAAGAAAACACATAGGGGACCTGACTGATGTGAAGTCTGTAATAGTGCTGGAAAGAAAAATCCTCTGAGCCCTTCACCATCCTTGCAGTGCAGAAACTTGGCAGTTTCTCCTATAACTCTTGAATGGTTTTGTCTGTCTTTTTTATAGGACATACTCCTCCCTCAATCTTACATCAATGTTCTTTGCAGATATTGTTATGATTTACTGATTGACAAAGTGTCATATCCCCATCTGTTCTGAGTAGAAATGGGTTTTTGAGGGTATTCCTCTGAACTTTTACTTACCTGAAAACAGAAATCCTGTTAAAATATGTTAAGACACAGTTAAACATATCTTCCTGTTCTACCTTTTCAGTCATATATGGACAGATTTGGAGTATTGTGCTTTGAATAGTCAGACAAGGAAACTGCTGCCCACTGAAGCGATGGATGAGTCAAATGGTAGTCTGCGTGATGGACTGACCTGTTCTTTCATGTCTTCTGTGGAACAGTTTGTATAAACTATTTAGGAATTTTCTGTCATTACTCAATATGCTTTTTTCCCCCGCCTCCTGCTTCTACCACAGTGTTTGATAGGTTAGGACAAGCTCTTGGAGTTACGTATGCGAGACATATATAAACATGCACACACGCGGAAGCATAAATACACACATAGCTAGAGATAACATATATACTATTTATAAGCAACAGGCATCACTACCAGTGGAACAATTATCCTTTGCTGTGAGGAGACATCTGGAGAAGGTAGGACATCAAACACCAAATGCTATGTAAGAGGGATCTGGTGCTGGCATTCAGCAGGCATCTCAGGCTAGTACAGAGTTAGGATTCTCCAGGGGTTTGAAAGGAGTATAACTCTGTCACCATGGCATGGTGTTAAGATGAAGCTGTCCTCTGGGATCAGATGGGGGTATTAGTTACACGATGCTGCTTGCCATGCTGAATGCAGCAGCTGCTGCTGTACTTTTCTTTGGAAGTGTTGAAGAGAAAGGCAAAGAATTTTTATCAGCAAACATGAGAAGAATTGGTGTGATTTAAAGCAGCTGGATGAGCCACATCAGCTGCCCTGCATGTCACAGTTCCAACACTTCTGTCTGCCAAATGGTTGGGAACAGAGGCTGGTGTTTTAGCTATCCCAGATTTTGTGCACCCTTGTTTCCTCACTTTTGCTGTTTAGAGTCAATTCAGCTGATACTTGATCAGTAAGTATTCTGCAGAGATCAAAAATTCCGTCTGTTTCTAATGGGAGTTGTAAGTAGTCAGAATCTCTTATGATTGGGATCCTTATGAATAGGTTGTAACCTTAAGTGCTAAAGGACAGATCTTGACTAAATAGGATTTTCATATTTCCACTGGTTTCGATGTAGCTTGGACAATTAGTGCAGCAAAGAATATGTGTTTTAAATTCTCAACCAGAGTTGTTAAAAGCGATCCTTGGTCAGAGAGGTATTGTTTGAAGTTCTGAAAGCCATCCAGGCATTTTTGCTATAGACTTTTTCTTAAGATCAATGGGAGGCTCAGGTTCGCTGCTTGGCCTTGAAAGTCTCAGCACCAGAAGGTGTTCATCAACTTTTGGGCCAATAATCCAAGCACAGAAAATTCAGGGCAAGGTCATCCACCTGTCTGTTTATTCATTCGTTTTGTGAGAAAACATAGTTCAGTGCTTCTTTTCAGGATATTTCTATTTGCTTTAAAAGCTCACAGGAATGGCAGGAGTCAGCTTTGAGGTGTTTGGTTTGTTTGTTTGTTTTTTGTTTGTTTGTTTTGTTGGGTTTTGTTTTTGTGAGGTTTTTTGTTTGTTTCTTTTTGTTTTGGTTTGGTTTGGTTTTGTTTGTTTCTGAAATGTACCACTATGTTTAATCAAAGTCTTGAGGTTGTACCTGCAAGTGCTGTTTTTATACCATTGTATAGAGACTACTATTGTTTAGAGACTAATAAAGATTAACAAAGCCTAATACACTCACATTTTCATTTTGACTAATGACTACTAATTTCTGCAGCTAATGTTCTGCTGTATTACAAGAATGGTTGTAAAAGATGGCCCTGCATAATTTGTTCTGCTCACCCTAAAATTTATTATTTTGCATGCAAACATGTACTCTGTTCCATGCAATCAGGAGCAGCTTCTCAGCCCAGATTTGGATTGTCTTTATTAAATCTGAAAAGCTGGGCTGAGCTCTGTCAGCTCCAGGTTTAGCCCTCAAATTGCCCACTGCCCCAGTGTTGCCTGAGATAAATCCTCTCATAGAGTGAGTAAGAGTCTCTGAGAGAATTCACTCACAGTCCAGTTACTTTTACTAAAAGTGCAGGATTTTCCATGGCTACTTCAGATTCTCAACTTAAGACTTAGGGATGGGGCATTTAAGATCTTGGGAAAGATCAGGGGAGATCATAGGATGCTAATGTAGTGCAAGGACTTACATCAGATGGCAAACATGCTAACTAGGGAAATGTGCAAGGAATACAGAATCAAATCCATTTAACCTACTGGCTCATGGCTTCCATCTAAAGCTTTAAATGGAAGCTACACTGTCTGCCACACTTGGCTGCTTTCCCTCAGAAATTTTAATTGCTGGAAGAGACATGCACACTCTCTGCTCCACCTGTGAGGGAGGACACAGAAGGGCACTGATTCATTCTGGGTCGGCACCATTGCTGAGTGCAGTACCGGTGATTTCCAGGTATAGCCTGGCTAGTCGTATACAACTGTACCTGGTGGCTGCTCCTACACATGACTGCAGCCAAACACAAGTGCAACACCTCGTAGGTGTCTAAGAAGTCACTGTTCATGACACACATAAAATGCTTCGTTGCCTCTTTTGTTCAAAGATTTCCAGGTAATTTGGAAAAGAGTTTAAAACAACACACCTACAGGCAGGTTCAGCTGGGAGGTTTTCAAAACATACAGAATAGCTGCATCATTAACTCTCATCACACCCCGTTACAATCAGGGGTGCTGGATGAATATATTGGAAATATGGCTATATATTCAGGTGATTTAAACCTCCGTTTTTGAAAGCATTGGTTTTTTCATACTATCTCTGTGTTTCAAAGCCTATATATGAAGTTCAATTCTTTTTCAAGTAAATGCCAGAGTGAAGTGAGAACTGGTGAAAGGTTAAAATGATTTTATCAGGCTTTGTGCATGCTCTGCACACCCAAAAATCAAGTCTCAAATATTTGCTCTTCAGTGTAGCTCAAAGGATGCCAATTGGTCTCCACTTCTTTTCCTGGAAAGCAGCAAAATGAGAAATTCTTTTTCATACATGTTTTGTCTGTCTATATAAAATGCAGCTGTTCTCCGGGCTGTTTTCTTCCTCTTGTTTTTCTCTTAAATCTACCTCTGTCTGTTGCTCATGTTTTTGCAGCCGTGAAGGCCAATGGTTGTAAAAAGGGAGGATTTGGAGGTGGAGACAGTATTTTTCATCCGGAGAAAAAGTAAGCAAGTTGTTAGGCACTTAACTACTTTTTCAGGTCTGAAATGTCTACTGTACAATAGAAAATTGAATTTTTGTTTCCAGGGCTATATTTTGAAGATTTTTTCCTGGTTGCCTCTGAGGGTCAAGCCTTGTAGATCAGTTGTAGGGTAGTTTTATAACAAATGAGAGCTCTGTGTGGGAGGACAGCTCAATCTGGAGTTGTTTGGTTTCTCACAAGGAGTGCCTGTGACCTTCAGCTTCGATGGGAGTAACAATCAACTGGTTCCTAACTGAGACCAGCATCCTCCCAGGTGCCTGGGGCAGTGATTTTGGGTCTCAAAGAGCATCCTCTGCAGGGAAGCCATCCAAATACTGTATCATTATGCCATGTGAACCATTTATTAAACTTTGCATCCCAATTAATTTTTTCAGTCCTGAAAACAGTAATAACTATGTAATAGTAATAACTGAAAACACTGTAATAAATATGATTATGATCACCTTATTACCACTGCTGGGAGTGATTTGCCTGATGAGATTTTAGTCATGATTTCTCTTGGGAGCCCACCACTTGCAGCAAAGGGTGATGCTAATGTTTAACATAGCTGCCAATATTAAAAAAAGGGCTAGGACATCACTCTTTGTTGTTTTTAGTGGGGGGATGAGAAACATCTGTCTTGAATGTTACAAGGAAAAAAATACCTCAGCATGCCATTTCATGTGTGAATCTGTGGTATTCAGCAAGATGGAATGTGATCTCTTGAGGGAGATCATATCATTCTCCAAAATGAGGCAAAAAGGGCAAAATAACTATCGAGGGCGTGTGAGTAATGGCTTTGTAACACCTAATGTATTCCATTTTTCTGTTAGTCTTCGGTTTATCTAGCACCTTTTTTTTTTTTTTTTGGGAGGGGAAATATCTTCATGCCAGAATGTGATTGAATAAAGGCTATCATTCATGTTGCAACATGTTGTGAAAATATCCTGGAGAGCCTAAAATAGTCCGGAGAGAGACTGAGAATAGCCATGTGTATGGCTTCAAAGCCCTAGTAAAAGTCAATGGGGTCACTCATTTTTATTTCCCTGAGATCCACAGCAATGTAAAGCCTTGAAGATGCAGTGATAGGTGCTAGATTAGAATTGGGTGGGTCCCCACTTCTTCTGAGAGTGCTACTATCCCTACTCACCCCTGCTGGCTAAGGAGAAAATTTTAAAAGCCACAATTAAAATAACTTTTTATACTTATTTTAATTATCAGGAATTCTTCTGAAGAAGACACACCTTATCCCAGAAAACTGAGTGTTTCTAGCAGAACTGTACAGTGTGAGATCCCTGCAGAATCCTCAGTGGAAACCAATTATCCTGGTGTTACTGGGGACATCACCATGCCTTTTCTGCTCTGCTTGAAAAAAAATAAGTCACCTGTGCCTTTAGGCAGGAGTATCTTTCAAAAACACACACCTCCCATCCAGCAGAACTACCAGGCTTTGCTGGAGTCGTGCTTGAAGAACAAATGCCTGTTCACAGATGACAACTTCCCTGCTCATATCAGCTCTATTGGAACAGGACCACTGCTAAAAAAACTACCCCGAAATTTACAGTGGAAGAGGCCACACGTAAGTGACTTTCAGTGAGTACTTTAGTGTAAGAGGATGATTACAGCTGATAGCCAGCAAATAGTTTTAGCATTGAACAGACTACCCTTAGACTTTAATTTAGGTGTACTTTAATTTCTCCAGAGATTACATCTATTGTATCAGGTGTAATTTTGGAAGCTGGGGTACACGGTTTCATAATTCCCTTTGAAGCATTTGTTGGCCAAAATCATAACCAGCCTCATTCAGTTTATATCCAGTGACGCTTGGAGCAGGCAGGGAGAGCAGGCAAAGGGAGCAGGTGGAGCTGGTTTCCTTGGAGCTCACAGCTATGGTGATCCCACCATGATTCTGTGATGACAGTACTCATGGCAGTGGTTCCTCTCTCCAAAATTCAAGATCCTGACCTTTTAGAAGATATCTGAGATTCTAGATAGTTCTTAGCCTTTGAGATTCTAGATAGTTCTTAGCCTTTGACCCCTCTCTCCTATGGAGCACATATTGTTTTGACGCTGGAGGCTGCTACTTTCCCAGCCAGCAGCAGGTGCCTTATCCTTTTGCTGGGCCGTTTTTTCCCCCTGCTAAACTGTTTAGTCTATTGTACTTAGAGCAGTGTTTTTCCAGCTCTCAAGGTTGAGCTTCTACCACAACCAGTAACTGACCATGAGTCAGTGAGTTGGTTTTAGTTTTGGGGCTTTGTTTTCTACCTGTGCTGACATTTCCAAGGCCTTTGCTGGTATCCTGTGCTTAAACTGAACATCATAGCAAGAGACACCTGGTTGCAAAGTCACAGAGCAAGTTCTCATAACAAATGGGTAGATAACAAGTCCAAGAGGCCAAGACGGGGTCCTGGCACAGTTAGATAAGGCCTGTTACTGGCAGTGGCAGTTCTGTTCTTTCTGAGGCACTGCGCAGAGTATTGCAAATCAGATCTTCCTGAAAGCAGTGTAAAAATTACATGAGCATTTCAGAACCCATGTATTACTGTCCCTGTAAGGGAATGCTGCCAGGTAATAGCAGATAGCATCTCCAAGCTAAGTTATTTTCTAGCTGTCATACTTTGTCAGACTTAAACAATTTCTCACAAGAGCTGAGTTTCTGCAAAACTCATTAAACTCACCAGGAAGGTAGAGGCATCTTTGCAAAGCAAGCAGAGGAGCTTGGAAAGAGCAGCCCTCATTCTTAGAGTTTCGTGCATAATTCAGTCTTTCAGATGGTTTGTATTAAGTCAGGATCTGCAGGTGGAGGCAGAGTGTAGTCCTCAGGAGCTTGAGCTGGGTTGTGCTGGGCACTGTGGCTCAGGCAGCTATATCAGCATAGAGTGATTTAAGGGAGTAAAGTCAGCATGAGTCCTAGCCTCTACAAAGCCCTTCAGGTGTCCCTCCACCCCACAGATATTGGAATGGACTTGAAACCTCTGTCTCTCAATGCACTGTTCTGCTGCTCTGCTGTGATTCTTGGGGTGTCCTGTGTAGGGTCAGGAGTTGAACTTGATGATCCTGATGGGTACCTTCCAACTCAGCATATTCTATGACTCTGTGATTCTAAAACTGCCCTGTGAAGAAGGCTGCCATTTGCTCTGTATGCTGAACTTAGCAGAGCAAAGGCTCTCTGAGGATGGATGCTCTGCATCCTTCAGTCCCTGTGCTGCAGAGAAGATGCTGAGATTCTTCTGTTCACCCTGCAGGCTTGTAGCTTGCTGCGTCTATGACTGATGGCCTGCAAACTGAACACCCAAATTCACCAAGAACAGGGCTTGGTGTCTAATTACTGTAACTGCCTTCTGAGGGTTTGCCATTTCTTTGCTACTGCCTGTAGGGGAAGCCAACAGTGTGAAACTTAGCTTGAGCAATTTCTGGGTCATTCGAGTGAAATGTAAGTTTGACACTTAGGTTATTAATTTAACCCCAGAGGCACCTTGTGAACGGAAAAAAGTAACATTATTTCTCTCTGAACCTGCTCTTGTCACAGAAACAGGAATTTCTGTAGCAGCCATCGATCTGTAGCCCAAGTGTCAATCAAATCAAGGAGATGTCAGTCAGGTTAGTTGAAAGTTTGAAAAGTTTTGCTCTGCCATCATAACCTCTTTTGGCTGAAACTTGTATGGAGGAGCAGGACTGGCATATTTGAGAGGTTTGCTTCTCAGTGTGGTGTTCACAGAAACCCACAGTGATGCAACTGGTGAGCACCGGTGACTTATGCTGGAGACCAAATTCAATGTAGACCAAGCCCAAGTGTGTGCCCAGGCTGGTGTCAAGTTAGCCAGAGCACATCACACTAGATTAATACCTGAACCAGAACAGTGTCTGCTGGGACAAAGGCCCCGTAAATATTTTGAAAGCTTCGAAAAGGCAGAGGGAATGTTTTGTGTCACATGTCCATGAGGTTTTTACGTCCTAGGCTAGGAACTCACTGGATTTCCCATCTTATGAGATTGCAGCTCTGCACACAGAAAATCCTTGACTTTCAAGCTAAACCAGCTGATGTTACTTACTTGACTCTCTACCTTTTTTTGTGTGTGTGTGTGCTTTCCAGGCTTTGCACAAAAGTCCAGTATTTTATGCTGCAAACAGAAAGCAACTTGATCTCTGCCAAGGATTGGTGGGTAAGGAAACTCCTTTGTATGAATATCTAAGTATTCTTATAGAAGATAACATTTTGCATGGAAGTTTGATTGTATAAAACTTGGCATAGAAATAGAAGGTGTCTTTCTCCTCCCTTCACTTGGCATGGTGCGGATGAAGCAATTAAGATGGGATAGCCTCAATAAAAAAACTGGCAAGCTTGGAGGTGGGATTTGAGGCATGAGAGGTGTCTCCACAAGCTGAACTCACCACTCTATGTTGCTGCTGTGCATGCTAATAGGAAGTGATCCTGTGCTTTTACTGGTCTGTGGTGTTGCTGCTTGACAATTGAACAGGGACCACAGAAGCAGGACTTTTGCTGTCTTTGTACCTAATACTTAGTATGAGTGTGTTCTCTTCGCAGCCTTGAAGTTAGAAAAATAATTTTATGCCCGTGCTGCCTAAAGTAAAAGGATATATTGTCACCTGCAAAAGAGGTAGAGGTGGGACTAAATTATTTTTTATGTGCTTTAAGTCCTTAAAAACAAAGTTTGACAAGTGCAGTTTTGCATGTGAGATCCATTGGAAATTATTTTTCTTTTCTGAAAAGCAAATGTTTTCAAAGAATAATGGAAAAGTTTTTTTAATAGTGTGCCTTTAGAGAGAACAGAAAAAACCTGACACAATGTCAGTAAAAACCAGAATGTTTCCACTGACAGTTATTGCTTGCTAAATTTCTTATTTAACCAAACAGTATCCAAATGAAAACATCACGAGAGAACAATAATAATCCAATCATGGTTTGGTTAAGTAAAGCACACGTCTGGATTGTCTAATTTTCTGTATATGATTTGTTATAACTGTAAAGACATCAGCACAACAGCTCTTCTGCTAGGATCTTGGTGGTGTTCCTGAACTTGGCTGACAGCTCTCGCCTTTCAGCCAACTCATGTGTCCATTTGTCTTGGCGCAGAGAACTGCTGGTTCCTGGCGGCCCTGGAAGCCCTGACGTTCCACCAGGACATCTTGGCTGCAGTCGTGCCACAAAACCAGAGCTTTGAGAGGAAATATGCTGGCATTTTCCACTTCCGGGTACAGCTGCTCCCCCAGATTGCAGGGGATCTTCAGAAATCCTCTGCTATGTTTTGTGTCACACCCTTAGATGTATGTGCTTCCCCTTGGCCAGGGGCAAGTGGCTGGAGGGTATCTCAGCCTGGAGAGCGGACCATCACCCCTCCCACAAAGCAGTGCAGGCAGTGAATCACCTGCAAGTTGCTCTGAGGATACCCCTCCACTTGTCTGTTTTCTCCAGCTATGCCCTACCCATATTTTAACACAGACAAAACCCTTTATTCAGAGTGGCAACAGTCAGCAGACCTGAGCACATCTGCTCCAGTCTTCTACCCTTTTGCCCACTCTTGATGCAACTGTGCTACCCTGCAGTTAGGAATTCCCTCCCCAGAAGTCCAACTGTGGCTTATTTCCCTGCTTATTCCCCTGCTTATTCCTTGTACACCTGATATATGCTTTGTTTGCTCCTCTGGCCGGATGGAGCTGAGGAATTGGCTCTGTCCCACATCCCACTGACCCACAGCAGCTTGTTCTGTGCCCACAGCTAGGCTATCTTGCCTTTCCTGTTGTTTCAAGGGGAGGTCCCTTCTAAGGGAAACATCAGCTCATTCCTTTCTCCTGACAGTTCTGGCACTTCGGAGAATGGGTTGACGTGGTGGTTGATGATCTCCTGCCGGTGAACGAGGCGGGGGAGCTGGTCTTTGTTTCCTCAGTCTATAAGAACGTGTTCTGGGGAGCCCTTCTGGAGAAGGCATATGCTAAGTAAGTGACTCATTCCAAGTTATGCAAATAGTCTCTAAAATATGTTGGTTGGTGCCTACACAGTTTGTTCTTGTTTACAAATGCATTTTGTAGGCCTTGCTATATTTGGAGTGTAGTAAATGGTTCTCATCTTTCTATTACTAAACAGTAAAAGCTGCCATTGCAGTAGCTGTTACCAATCCAGGCCCCTGAGTTTAAATCCCAGGGTTTAGGTGTGAAAACAGACCTGTTGTTGGGGGTTGTCCTCTGAGTGTTATCACTGTTTGCAGTGTATTGTCTGTGCTGGTGCCTTCTTTGTAAACACCGTAGAGAAGCCGAAGGCCACCGATAAGAATTTTTAAAGGTGAATGATTTCTGATGCCTCCTTTGATGTATTATCAGTGTGAGAAACCTCCAAGGATTTTCATTTTGGAGGTCTGCTGAAGCATTGCACTTTGTTTTGGTAGAAGCTCGTGCTCTCAGGTCCCCTAAAGCTGAGGCATGTAACAAGTCATATGTCACAGTGAGAACAGTGGCTTCTCTCCAGAGTGTTTTGTCTACAATGCTAAACTCTAGTGGTAGTATAGGACTAAGGAGAAAGCAATAAGGCATAACTGATGGAGTTTGTTGATATTGGGCTGAAGTAATCTCTGCAGAGCAGGGAAAAAATTGTAGTTAACGTTCAGAGAAAGATCACAGTAAAGGTGAGAAAGTTCAGTGATTTTCATTTGGTGTTAGCTTTAGAACAAAAAGATTGGAGAAAGTTGCACTGTAATGGTAAAGACAATCGGATTGGAGACTGAGCTCTCAAGACAGCGTGCCTCTCAAGACTGTATTTTAGATACAGCACACTGTGTGGTGATAAATTCAGGCAACATTTGCTAAGGCAGAATTATCAAAGATGTTGTGATAGGCATGTTCTCATTACAGAGCAGTGAGGGATGACAATGAGTGAAGAGTACCTTTCAGACTATGGCCAGTCTTGGAGGTAATTTTCTAGATTCTCCTCTTCCTAAATGCAAAGGTTCCCCTAAAATTAAACATGAGTTACAGCCTTCCTTTTGCTTTTTGCACACTGTTTTTGTATGTTTTCATTGTCACACTATCCTCAACCTGTCATCTGTGACTATAATCCAAAGAATATATTGATGTCATTTTTGCTAGACTTTATGGCTCCTATGAAGATCTGCAGATTGGGCAAGTTTCAGAAGCCTTGGTGGATTTTACAGGAGGTGTTAATACAAGGATCAAGCTTGCAGAAGCTCCTCCTGATCTGTGGGATACCTTGACAAGAGCCACCTACAGCAGATCTCTCATGGGCTGTCAAACACACTTAGGGGTGAGACTCGGAGTGATGTCAAATGGCTTTACAGCTAAAAGCCTTTCCAGACCTCTTTACTGCTGCTCAGCTAGTCATTGTGACTCAAAAAGTATCAAAGCTGCCACACGTGACTTTCTATAGAAGTCACATTCTTAATGTTAAACTTTCTACACGGCTTGATACCCTGCTGCTCTCGGATCCCTGTTGTTATCTTCAGGAATATCTATCACAGAACCTCTATTTAAATGAGGTCCTACTGTATTTTCCCATTTTTGCTAAATAAATTTTCCATTTTTACAGATTGTCCAGTGAGGCACAGACACACATGGAATAAACTTACAGCTAAGGCAGAGAGGTGTGTGGTTCAGAACATAAGCTCAAATCTTGGCTTCCAAGCCTTATGCTAACACTTCAGCTGTTGGGAAACTCTAATATTCTGAAAATTAAAACCTAACCTCCTGCACGTTTTGAAAGTGAGATGGTCTCTAGCTAAAGATCCACAATTTAGGAAAGGACCTTCCCAATCAATCTTTCAATTCCAAGCATACGGCGAAATATGGCTGTTAAGAGCTTCAATTTATTTATTCATTTAACTTTCAGTTCAAACCATTCTCCATTTGCTTTGAGAGTCATTGCTGACACAGGTACAGGTATGAGTCTGCCATGTAAGTATAGGTAGAGTAGAAGGTTTATTTTCCTTCTGTTTCTCTTCCTTTTATACAGACAACAAAGGTCCTGAAGAATGGGCTTGTTGCTGGCCATGCCTACACAGTAACTGGTATTAGAAAGGTAAGACTAGCCCTAATGTCCTGGGTCCAGGTTTATTTGGATATCAGCAATTTTTATTGCAGTCATAGGTTCAACCATTAATCAGAGCAACTATGGTATCTCCTCCCCAGTGCTCTTTTCTAAGGCTAAAAGAGACTGTGTGCTTTGTTAAGATTCACTTTTGAGTGTGTTCATTTTTATCAAGGTCTTGGCATAAAGGACAATGGTTATGGATCAACATATCTCTAAGGGTGGGAATGATTCATAGGGCTCTGCTGAGACCATCACCTACAAATGCATCTTAGCTGCTAAGGATGAAAGGACTGGACTTTGAGGCTACTGGGAGAATGTGCTGAAACTTGGGATGTGCTTTTTACTTGGAATAAAAAGCCTTCCTCTGAAGGCAAAGGAGAGGCCACAGAGAAGTAAAGATGCAAGGGCCGAACTATGAAAGACTGCAAATGGAAATGTGAGTCAATGGTGGAGTAAGGGAACCAAACTGGGCCCCTGTGCAGAGTGCAGGTGGACCCCACTGATCTGCAGAAGTATCATTGAGAGTCCCCCTAAGATATTTGTCTAAAGGTAAAGGACAGGGAAATAATAGATCCCAAAGACTGTGAGAAAACTCAAGCTTTCTCCTCCTGGGTTGGTGGATGACTATCTTGTCCAACCTTAGAGGCAGGTTGACAAGGATGGTGAAGGACTTTGTGGGGCTTTGGACATGTTGGTGAAAGTATGTTCAGTACCTCTAGCAAGAGATACTAGGAAAGTTGGAAGAAATACTGTGAGCTGGGTGATGTACATCTGTGTCTCCCACAGGGGGAGCAGAAAGGTTTTAGGTATGGGGTTTATCAGTGACATGTCTGCCATTCTGTCTCCTCTGATGGGATGAAGAGCCAGGCAGCATTAAGGGACTGACCCAGCATCTGGAACCAGTGTGAAGGCAGCTGTTCTGCTATGTGCTGACAACAAAGTCCCTAGTTGGCCTGGCTCCCTCTCCTCCCACCATGGCATCCCAGTTCAGGGGGCACTGACCTATGTGGTGACCCGTGGGGGACTGCACTGTGCTGTGCCATTGCACTGTGGCAGGACTTGGCTTTCACAGTCAGTAGTACAGTCTTGCCCCCAAATAAGTGCAAAATGAGCAGATGTTGGAAAGGAAGAGGAATTTACAGTCAAACCTCTACATTAGGAATCTGTGATGTCTCTGGTATCACTTTAGAATGTAAGATGAAGCATCTGAATCTCTTTGTTGCCGGCATTCTGAGTTGCATATTCATAGATTTTTATCATCATACTTGCTGGCATCTATGAGAACAAACAAAATAATTGTTAATATCTGACATAGAACAATGACTTAAACCAGATGAGAACTGCTGAGACCTTGGTAAGCACAGTGTTACTGTTTTCTGCAGGTGACCTGTCAATATGGACCAGAAAACCTAGTGAGACTGAGAAACCCATGGGGGAAAATTGAATGGAAAGGAGACTGGAGTGACAGGTGAGTTTAAAGAAGGAAAAGTATGATGCTGAGGGGGAGGAAAAGTTTATTGGAGGGAAGATGCTGCCATCTTCAGACGTGAATGCTGAGGGCAGCATTCAGATAGCTAACAGTTGCTTGCAAAGACCTTCTGGTGTCAAAGCAATGACTCAATAGATTTGTGTGTCTCCAACAAATAGTGCTTACGTAGCTGGGCTCACTTCACACACACAACTTCAACAAGATCAGTTCTCGTTTTCCATTCACTGAATACCAGAGGAAACATAATATGAACATCAGACACTGACCACGTTGCTGTGATCTGGATGGCATGTAAAGTGACAGATAGCTGGGCAGGAGGCTCTAAACAAACAGCATGTTTCAGGACACACAGTCATTTATCACGGGAGGGCCTGTGCAAAGTCCTCCACAGGCTACAAAGTGCAGGAATTGGCTGGCTGCAAAGGATTCCTCTGTTCTGGCTGTTTCAGGAATACAATTGGGTATGAGTTAAGAAGAAGCAACCAGTGAGGCAAATGGGCCCTGTATTTGCAGCTACCTGATTTTTTTTTTTAATTGGGATCCACGAAAGACAGTGGTTTGCATTCTAGACCACTGGCAACTGTAAACTTGTGTCCAGTTCCTCTTTAAAGTGGAGCATGTTTCTTTCTTCCAAGCTTCACTTCATTCCCTGTGCAGGTTCTGTTTGATGAGGCTCATGTGAGTAGAAAGGAAAGAAGAGTACAGAGGTTATTTGGAATGTGAGTGACTTTCACCTTGTCTGCGGAGCTGTAACTTCTCTGATGCGTCTGTCACATAATGACAACACACCAGCTGTTCCTGTTGAAGAGCATAATGAGCAACATACTGTAGGCCTGCCTTTGAAACGACTCCCAGCTGCCTCTTGTGCTGTCCTAGTCATTCATTCATTATGCCAAACACTCTTCCTATTATGTCCCCTTTGATAGAAAATTAACCAACAAAGCAGGTCTAAATTTTTATATTTTAAGTACTTGGAAGCTGCATGTTCAAGTGAGTGGACTGGCTGATGGAAATGGAGCATTTCTGGCTTCTGCTGGAGAAAACTGGAGCCGTTTAGCTGCATCTCATGGGACCCAGAGTGGTCATGGAGAGTCTCATATGGCTGAAGGCATAGGAGCCTCTCTTTAGTGGGAGATAAACATGGTGATATGTGGGGACAGGTATTTGGCTTCTTTTGATAGAGGAGAGCAATGTACTCTGCCTTGAATTTCAGGCCACATTTGGTAAGTCATCTCATGTTATTCCCCTTAGCTCTTACAAGTGGGAGCTGCTGAGCCCGAAGGAGAAGATTTTGCTGAGGAAAAAGAAGGAGGATGGAGAATTCTGGTAATGGCACAGTCCTGTCTCTCTCCTCTCTGCCAGTAGCTCTGGGGCTGCACCTGGAGATGAAGCAGCACCTTGGCACTTAGGCTGAGGCATAGGTGATCTGCTTCATACCAGCTCATGCTTGCTCTCCTGTTCCCCTTGCCTGATGACGTGAGAAGCAGTAGCATGGATGCACGGTTTTTCAGTGGCAGGAGTGAGGGAGAAGCAGGACATTGTCAGGTCTCCTGGGGCTGCTGGAGAAAAAGGGCAGCTTTCAGGAGCTGTTGTCCTGCCTTTTATTTTTAACATAGCTCTGGGAAGCTCTTGCTTGCCTGGTGTTTGTCCGTGATTTCTCCATAGCTTCTGCCACGAGGTGGCAATGTTGCAGCCCCGTAATTTCACTGCATTCCCTTTGATGGCAATATTATTTTATTCTCTGTGCTGCTATCCTTTGCTGAAGTTTTAGTCGTCCATTTGCTACTTCTAGATGCTGCTGTTGAAGCAGACACTCTCTTCTTTACTACCTAATAAAATATGAGCATTACCATATGTAACGCAGAATGGTGCGGCTTCGAAGTTCCCTGCTCCCTTTCCTTTTCTTTTTATGAGCCATATGGACTAAACTAAACTGCTGACAAGATGTCTCTTGGCACTCTTTTCCCAGGATGTCTCTGCGAGATTTTAAGATTCATTTTGTAGATCTGATGATCTGTAAACTAACTCCAGACCTGATGAGCCAGGAAGATGGGAAAAAGTGGATGTATTCCCTGAAGAGTGGGAGATGGGTTAAAGGAAGTACAGCAGGAGGAAGTCTGGGATTCTGTAATGGTGAGGGGTGCTCTTTTGGATGACTCTGACATTTGGATGCTCTGCTGACTCAGTTACCAGCACTTTATACCTCTTAGCATAAAACTGACAACAGAAATATGTGCTTCCTGCTTAAGCCTCCACACCAACATCAAAAATAAGCAGCTGAAGGACTTTGATTGCCTTCTGCTATCACAGAAAATGCATCACTTGCAAACATAGGGCAGTGGGTTGATTATAGCATGAAATGAGCTGCAGAATCACAGGATCAATTGCCAACACTGTTCTGCTTTAGGGCATTAAACTTGTCTGTTAAAATTTGCATCCTCAGCACCTCCAGGGAGTGGTATTTTAAGTAAAGTGAATGGGAAATGCAGAAGCTCAGCTCTTCTGGAAGCAGAGCTGGTGGGGTCTGAAGTCAGCTAGCCCATATACCACAGGTGATACAGGAACAGTGATACATTTATAAACAAAATGAGCTTTAGTTGCATGTAAGCAAGTTCCTTGTTCCTGAGTCGTTTTACTGTTTTAGATAATAGTTACACTGCTAAACTTGTGAACTGCATCCTAAAATCAAGTTCCTGTGGCATCTGGAGGCACAGACTACTTGTGACCAATTCAGTCCAATGCCAGGCATCATGTGGGAAGCTGGCAATCAATTTTGTGAGGGAAAATGACATCAAAATTCTTTTCTTGTTTTGCTTAGGCAACTTTTGGATGAACCCTCAGTACTGGCTGAATGTTTTACCAGTTGAAGACAGTAAGAAAAGCCTGAATTCATGCAATGTGGTTATATCCCTGATGCAGAAACACAGCAGCAAACACCGGAACCGAGCTCCTCACCTTTTCATTGGATTTTTACTCTACAAGGTGTGAAGAATTGCTTTACTTTTCTTGCTTTCACCACATAGGAAAACTTCCAGGCCCTGTAAATTGTAGCGCTTTGCAGATGAAGAGTTTTGTTGTGCCCAGGGTGATCTGTGCTCTTTCCTTCTGCCTGCGCCCACTCTCCTCACACATCACAGCACAGCTCTGCGTCCCACTTGCTGCCTCTCCAGCATGCTGCATGTTACCCTGCAGAGCAGTGAGAAGTGCCTTTTCCTTCAAAGTACACTTTTTTTATTTTCCTTTCTCTGAGAGTATGTGTAACAGCTGGGAGAAGGTGCCAGGAGTGCCCTTACTTTGAGGCAGGAAGAGCTCTGCCCTCAGGTTATTTCCAACCATGGTAAATTGTGCTTGAGAAGTGTTCCTAGTATGATGTAGCAGCTGTTCATGTGTGCATACTGCTAGTTCCCTGTGTATCCGGGGATAAGTGGGTATCCCTTCAGGTCTCTGCTTATCCTACTGCCTTGAGAGCCACTCTTCTCCCTTGAACAGAGCCACAGCTCTTGTTGCTGCTGTGAGTTTGCACAGCTACTGTGAGGTGACTGTGGGGAAGGGGTTTTGGGTAGAGGGACTGAAGGCAAAGACCCCAGCTGGACGTATGTATCTGCTTTGCTTCCCAGGAATGACATGGCTATGTTATGTGAGCAAACTTGTCTGATAGTTGCTCTGTTTCTTTTCTTCCCGCAGGTGGACCTACAGGTGAGTCTCTTGTCACCACTACTGACTGTTTGCTGGGGCACCTGAGCTGGTGCAGCAATTAAGACAACACTGAAGGTGGTGTGTTTGCCTTTGTTCCTTGGCTGACAGTGAGTGTTTGAGTTCAGTGAGGCACCACAGCAAGGCACTACTGATACAGAGCTATCCACTGACTCTTCTGAAAAGTTGCCATATCGGGAGGGCTCAGGGGCCTTAAAAGGGGACATTGATTGTTCAGCTCCTGTAACAGGTCTTCAAAGGTATTAGAAGTGGTATCAGTGTTAACAGGGAAAGGTTTAGCTCCTCTTGTCTTCTAAGGGTTTATCTTCCACTCCATTACTGCTCAGAACACCTCTTAAATGAAAATTTGGGCTGGCAAAGAACTAATTTAGGTGTATGGTTAGGGCAGCACAATTGTGTTCCTACTTACTGTATTTCCAGCATGGTAACTATGAGGTAAGATGCCATGCCTTCCTGACTTAAATATTTTGTGCACTATCAAGGTTACAAGTAAGGTAAACTTGCTGGCAGAGGGGGTGGGTCTGGGTGCGGCCCTAGCACACTCCTCTGTCACACCTGAGTGGGAATGGTGGCAGCCAGGACTTTAATTTCAGGTTTGTAGTGATTGCCAAGATCAATACAGAGAGATGGCAAGCTGAGAGCATCTAAGGTATTGGAACTACTGTCAACCAAGTATTGACTGGAATATAAAAACTTTGAATTTAACATAAGGGGCATGAGGAGGAGTAACCCTGAACCTTTCAGAAGAAAGATTGCTCTATTAGTAAGAAAAATACTGGCAAAGGAAGAGGCATAGCCTCTCCCCATGAGGCTGCAGAGTAAAATGACTAAATGTTTTGAGGAACAGCCAAGATCAGAAGGTGACAGTGGTTTTAGCTAGCAGGATTATTTATTTTGTTTGTGTACTGGGCACTCCGTGGCATTAAAAATGAGCTCTGTGTTGCCTGGATCAACACTTTATCTATCCTCCTGTTGCTGAAAAGTGCCTGCAGAGCAAAGAGTGTCAGGCAGATCAAGAACTCTTGCATTAAGTCAGGGTTAGGGCTTAGGTTGTGCCTAAGATTCACAGGTACTCCAAAATCCTGTGCCACCAGATCCCTAGCACTAAGGACAAGCTGGGACAAAGTGTGTGGTCCTTATGGGATAGGATGGGTGTTCTGGCTAGTGAAGAGCAGTGTCTAGAGCAGTTCCTGCCTGCAGTTACTTCTGTCAGTGTGGAAAAGACTTTTGCAGTAGCCACTTTGATAGGAATAGCTTCTCCTCTCCAGTCCTCACTGCTGTCCTGTACAAGTACTCTTATATGGTTGATAAGTTGCAGGAAGCCCAGTTCTTTGTCATAGTAGTATTGAGCAGGAGTGTTGCATAAGTGAGAATCACCATGTCCTGGGAGGAGACTGAGTCCTTCGGGCTCTGTTACCTGCCTGTGCTGCAAAACAATTTGAGGTGTGAGGGCAAGCTGTCTGTGCCATGCCTGTGAATCCTCTACGTGCCTTCTGTGCATTTGTTCAGCTGGTGCAGAAGACATGTCTCTTATCTTTCTTCCCTGAACAGTACCAGGAAAGCAACAGAAAACTGCCCCCAGCTTTCTTCACCCGTCATCAGCCTGTGAACAAGCACCAGGTTTTCCTTGATGAGCGGGAAGTGACTCATGACTTCCATCTGGAGCCTGGTGTCTATGTGATTGTCCCATCCACCCTGGAGCCTCAGCAAGAGTCTGAATTCATCCTGCGGGTCTTCTCCAGGAAACATGTTCTTCGGTGAGATGCTGCTGCCCCTCTGCCAGCACCTAATTCTCTGGAATAGTCTGGTCTTTCTAGTCTAATGGGAGCACCATAGAGACTTTACTCTACAAAAAGCAGCATAATTTCTTTTAGAGACTCTGGTTGTGGGTTTCTCCCACCTTAGGATTCTCAGTGGCTGAAGCACTGCTTTTGGCCTTATCCTTTTGAGAGGTGTTGAGCTAGGCCCACAAAATTCTTGCAGCATGGACATGTTTGAGACTGTGAGAAGGACAAGAGCTTTTAATGCACAATTAATGTGTCAGGAGACCCTTCTGGTAGTGCTAGGACAGTTGCTTGTGCATAATAGTGCTTTGAATACTTCAAATGCTGGCAGCCCTTGGAAGTTGTATGGACATGAGGCCTTCCCTTACTGCAGTTGTAACACCAGAGAATAAAACAACCTGCAATAGCAGGTTGGGGCCCCATCTGGGGATGGGGGATGCCACCTGTGGTGAGACACACAACTCTGAGATACCTTCTTAACAGATCTGCTTTTTTGCATCTCCAGGGAAATGGGCGGGAACACAAGTTTCATCCTCTCTAAGGTGAGTGGATATAAGAGGAGCGGGAGGTCTGTGGTTCAGTCTTCAGCTCTGAATGTTGGGTTTTTACTGTTGCTCTGCTGTAGGGACAGGCTTGTGTTTCAGCACTTTTGAAAGTGTGGCTTGGGTTTACAGCCAGAGTCCTTTGGGCCATGCAGACAGATGCAGTCAAATGTGGAGGACAGGCTAAGCACCTTAGTTGGTTGCCTTTTTGCAAACACCTTTTAGTGACACCATCTTACTGGCTCTGCAGTCTTTCCTGTTCATGGTTTTTGGATGCTCAAGGTCCATTCTTGCACTTGTCCCTGTTCCTTTCATGCCTTGAAAGTTTTGAAGGCATCATGGGACCTGAGCAGTACTATTCCCATGCAGCAGCCTGTTATTTTTGAAATAGCTGAGCTCAGTGGCAGTGCATGCATGTCTGCACCTTGTGCCAGGGAGTTTATAGCATGGTCTGTTCCCCTGGCATAAAAAGGCCTTTCCTGCTTTCATCTCCTCTGTTGTGCTGTATACAGGAAGACAGAGGCCCTTCTCTCTCTTCTTGACAAAGAGTGAGCCACATCCTTTGTTGTTGTATAGCTTGGGGCAGGGTGGGGGGAACATTTCTCCCCACTGAGTGTTATCTGAGTATTTCTTTCCAAGAAATAGCATTTCTGTGGTGTGGGAACCTATCTTAGCAGTGGGCTGTGTCAGTGATGTAGCATTGATTGCAGTGGTGGGGAGAAAGTGGAAGGGCAGGGGATGGAGTGCAGTTCTGGGAAATCATCTTTAATAACTTGGATGACAATATTTTTCTTCTGCAAGTTAATGATTAATATTTTTTTAAATACCTTAAAGGAAATTGTTGATAGGTATGAAGGCAAGATTTGGGAGGATTTCTTCACAAGGCATTTTGAACAGGTAGGTGCTTGCATGAGCTGCCAGAATAAACTCCTCCAGAGCTATTATGTAGCTCTGAAAGTAAAAGCGTGTGGGTGCTCAAGGGAGGTCTGGATGTGGAAGTGTGGGGAACAGAGAGGGGCCACAGAGAGCAGATAGGGCTGTGTGTACAGTGCAGCAAATTTGACTGTGAAGCTTAGCAATATGATAATGTTGAGATAGGCAGACTTCTCCACACAAGAGGGTGGGAATGCCTGGAACTTAATGCCACAGGACATTGTGGATGTGACAATATCAAGAGGCTCAAGAGGTATTAGCAAACTGATGGGCAGAAAGTCCATAAACAGGTATTAAAGGACTGGGCAGGGATATATACTATCAGATCCCTTTTCCAACAGATGTGGGTGCCAGGGAAACAGCAGAATGGACTGCAGAAGCTGACCAGCCTCATGTGCTCTCCCTAAACATTAATTACTATTGCCCGTATTGGGGACAAAGTGATGGGCTGTGTGAATCCATCCTATCCTTTAGGGTGTTCTTACATTCATTGGGGAAAGTTACCTGTTAGATAACACCCCCTGAAACATTGACACTCATCTCATACATAGTTCATCACAAGTTGGATGGCAACTAACTTGCTTTGAGAGGTGAAGTAGGTATCAGATGTCCCGTCACCTCCCTTTTCCCTAATTTTCCTGGTGAAATATGATCTTTACTGTGAAAGATTCTTTTTAAGGATCTCTCTGGCCAGATTTGAGATAGAATTGACCATCAGGGATCCCACTAACTATGGTGAGAGATGCAAGAGTTTCACCTTTCAGAAAAGGTCACTGCATTTATTTAGCATCTTACCCTATATTTGGCAAACACAATTTTACAAAAACAAATTTGGACTTCTAATAGGAATAATTTGAAGGAAGCTGTTACTGAAAATAAGCAATGCTTTTACTTTATGCCCCTGGTTTAAGATTTTGGTTTTGAGAATGGTGTGGCTTTCAGATGTGCTAGAAATTGCCACATACTGTGAGATGTCGGTCCTTTGCTGTCAGAAGGTCCAAGGACACACAGAGGCAGGCAGTACTGCCATTTCTGAAGGCACTACCCTGGTATGGCTCAATGATTTGAAAATAGCCTTTTATTTTTGAAGAGTGACATTTTAAAAAGCCCTCCAAACAAACGATTGTCACAGCTTCTAAAAAACCTGTAAACTTTAATATGACAAGGATGAAGGGGAACCTTTGCTTTGAAAAGTTTGGGGAGAAGTATTCCAAAGTTTCCATCTTTTTTGTCTGTAAGTGATAAAAGGGAAATATTTGAAGCAAGTCTCTTGACAGTGTGCTTGATGGGACAGATGGCACCAAGGCCAAAAGGTTAATGGTCTGGATCCTCACTCGGTGTAAATCTGCACTGCTGCATTGATCGGTGTGGAGCCCTGAGAACTTAGCCCAGAGCAGACTGCAGCTCTTGCAGGCTGAGAATCTTGTCATATTCAAAGGGAGCCTTTTCTATTGATTTTCACAGCGGCTGGAGTGGGGCCAGAAAAGCAAAGAATGAAGATGGGACATGCTGGGAAAACAAAAGTAGGAGAAAAGTGATTTAGTACTTAAAAAAAAATAAAAAAAAGAATTAAAATTCTCTTCCATATCACAGAATCCTGAAATAAATGCTGTTCAGCTCCAGAAGATCTTGAATAATATATCTTGGAGAAGTAAGTACTGAAAAACAATGTTTCTGTAAAATAAACCCTCTCAGAGAAAAGCCTCAGCTCCTATATCTATTACTTGCATTCTGGGAAGAGAAACTGGCTTGAATCTGATTGAACTGACTCTTCTGATGCCATGTTAGATTTCCAGAGCAAAAGGATTTGCTGGGGTATGAATCAACATGGCAGAAATTTTAGAAGTGAGGCTAATCTAGTTTGAATTTCAACAGCTGGAAGAATGGGGAAGAACAAGTGTGGATGCAGACTCTTAGTTTGACCTTCAAACCCAGCTTGACCTCAGCCTTGATTCTGAAACTGAAATCTCGTTCCACCCTGTGCCGCTGCCAGTCTTGGCAGCACCACTACTCAGAGGTGTGGAAAGCCTGGTCTGTAGGCATTTATGTGGTGGAAGAGGGTCTTGTCTTTGCCTTCATGTGCCTGGTTCATGCCTGCTATTCCTGTTTACTCTTCCCTGCTATGCATGCACAAGGCTGTTCCTTGCTCTGTGTGTGTTTGGGAGACAGGATGAGGTGCAGGTGGTCTGTGTAACCTATGCTGGTGAGACTCAGGTGAGCCCCGAGCTTGTCTCTCTTATGAGGACTGTGACATCCACTCTGCCAGGGGCAGCCCAGGGCACTCCACAACCTCGTAATTTGGTTCCTATTTATAAATAACACCACCTAGACAACAGCAAGGTACTGCAATGACTGTTTTCTCTGAACAATGACAATGAAATTACAGACATAATGTTGAATCCAGATTTCCTTTGCAGTTTCTTCACTGGGAACAACCAATGGGCGACATAGAAAATACTCCATCCAGCCATTACAGGCAACAAAGAATACAATCAAAAGACTGATGTGATGTCTTTTTCACTTAAGCTGAATTTGACAGTGCTCTCTTTTCTACAAAGGTAGACAAGGATAGCTCTTCAGTCTTTTTGCAGTGACCCACCAGGCACTGTCTTATCTGTGAGAGGACTATGTGGAAAAGGGAATCTTTATTTTTCATGAGTGATCGATTTTAAGACAGTGATTTTAAAAACTTTACAGTACTTGATTCATATTTACTAAACAGGGCTATTACAGGATTAAAATTATTAAAGCAACTTGACTTTCTGCAGAGAAGAGATTGGTGAGTTATGATTCTGTCCCTTACTCTGTGTGAGGCTACAGATCATCTATAATCATGATTTGCAGCGAGATTAGACCTATTTTTGTTACTCTTCATGTAACTTATGTATGAAGCAGGAATTCTAAGCTTTGATGCAGCATCATGTTTCCAGCAATGCCTGTACTTTTAATTATATTAACAGAGCTGGCACTGTGTCTGTGAAAGGGAGGGAGAGAGAGAGATGCTTAGTACAAGAGTTTCAATTAATCTGCAATGCTGTTCCCCAAAGCTCTTCAGGTCAAGTGACTTTGCTCAAGGTCATGCAGTAAATTCTGTTTGGGATTAGAGCTTTGGATGTCCTTTTCCTTCCATTTTCTCTAATAGCTGGAGATAGTGCACCATATTTCATTCTGTATTACATGCCTGCAGGGAGCTCATATTGGATTTTCTGAGACTAGTAGAATCCATCCTGTTGCCTCATATTTTTATCATCATAAATGATACTTCTTCTCAAGTGGGTGTAAAGTTTCACAAAGGTTTGGGAACCTGAGCCCTCTCAAGTGAGGGGGAATTTTGTGAGAGTCCATTTTTCTGAGAGATATTCAATGACTCCTCAAAACAATTATTTTTTTTTTCCCTCTCCCCAGACTTCCAGAGTTTTCGCCTGAATTTCAGTTTGGATTCCTGCCAGGGTATCTTGGCACTCCTGGATGTATCCTTGTCATGAGTGATACTTCTGACTCATATAATACTGCATTGGAGCATTATTTCATGGGGCAGACTGGGTGTTACTGTGATTTCTTTACCACTAGGACATGCCCCTGCTTATTGAACATCTTACCCTCCATAATAACAGTTCAGCTGTGACAGAATGGAGTTGGTTTGGGAAAGGGTTGATTCCTGCTGCTTCTGAAATCAGCAGCCAGGTTTCCATTGACTTTGGTGGGAGGAGGATCAAGCCTATAGATAGGCATGTGGGCTAAGAAATCATTATCCTCATATTATAATTGTGGGAATGTTAGAGTGACTATAAGTTTTTCATTTGTTTGGGGGTTTTTTGTGTTTTTGTTTGTTTGTTTTTGTGGTTGTTTGTGTGTTTTGTTTTGTGGTTTCGTTTGTTTGTTTTTAATATGTAATGAGTGCTACCTAAAGTTTAATTGAGATGTTTTGACTTTAATTCTCCCACTAAGCTGAATGCCACTGGCACACTGAGTATCCAGGAATTCAGAGTCCTGTGGAAAAGGCTGCTTTTCTATTTGGTATAACAATAATTTCTGTGCCCCCTTGCAATATCTCCCTGCTCACAATTCCTTTGGTGTCATCTGTTGTTTTTTTGGGTGGCTTGTTATGTTTAAAAATACTCCCTTCACCCCCCAGGAAGTTTTCCAGAAAGGAGACACAAGCAGATCAGGAAAGCTTGGCCTTGTGGAACTGCATGCAGCTGTACAGGAGACAGGTGAGCCCACGGCGCATTTTGACAAGTCTCATCCTCTTCCTCACAAAAGTGGAAAAAGCCTAGGGCTGGGGAACATCTTGATAGTTGTAGGTAGGGCCTGGGAAAAGTGGAAAACATCATAGGCTGTATGATCTTGGCATCTCTTCCTTCTTCTTTAGCTGGATAAACACATCTAAAAATTATTTTGTCATGGAACGGGCTACTCAGTCTTTGCCCCAGTGTGGTCTCCTACTGATAGTTGTCTGAAACGGAAGTGTCTGCTTATTTTAGACCCAGTTTTTAAATCCCTTCCTCTTTGTTGCTAATTGAATTTTAAAAGGCTATGTGGGGTTGTGTGAATGCATGCAAGAGGCCAGATCTAGGTCATATTAATTTGCTACCTCTGCTGAAGACAACAGCTCAGGTACCAAACCTGGAAGTGTGGGACTTGCACAGAGTCAATAGTGGTGCCAGACTTCACTAATGCAATGTCTGAAGCTTGACCTAGAAATGGAAGACGATACATATGGGTCCAAGTACTGGACCAAGCTCTGTTACTATTACTGGGCATTGCGTGGGGGCTGTTGCTCAATCTTGTAGCTTCCTTTGCGTGTTTACAGCTTAAATATCATTCCTCTTTTTACTGCATGTTCACCCAGTTCATCTGAGTCAGTGAAAGCACAGTGAGAAACCCAGGCATACCTCTGCTAAAGCAAACTAAAATCCCAGGCCATGAATAGAAAATGCTTTTATTCCTTGCAAATGCTGCTGCTGCTTGACATTGGGACTGAAGCTCTATGAGCTTCCTCTGGATTTTCTTTCTCATCTCTTTTCCTACCCTCTTGGGGAGTATTGCTCTTAAACCCAGCTACTGCTATTACCCTCATATCCCGTGAGCAAAGGAGGCCCATGTGTATTTTATTCCAGCTCTGGCAGGACTGTGATTATAGGGGATCAGATCTGGACCCTTTTAAATTTGGGGGAGGTATCTTTATATAGTGGTCTCGTTTGGGCTGGCTAATGTTTGAGATTATCTTAGAGGAGGCTTGAAAAACCAGGCTGTTGGAGAAGGGCTGAAGGACACTGTTGTGCATGGTCACAGCTGTGTGTGCACCCATAACTGTGCATATTCAGCTGTGTACACCTGGGAGTTGCCATCTCATTCTATTTTCCCTTTTTTTTTTCTTTTCCATTTTATGAAGGCATTTCACTCAGCAATGAAGTCTGTAATTTGATGGCAATCAGATATGGTGACCCTGACTTACAGATCAGCTTTGAGAGCTTTGTTTGCTTCATGCTTCGAGTGGAGATCATGGGAGGTAAGGCTGGTGTTATGTTTCTGGCCAGGCAAGCTGGGTTGCCAGCTAAGCCCTGACCCCTCTGACGCTGCTCCAGCTGGCAGTGGCAAGGTCAAAATTAGTAGGACTGGATTTCTGAATAAACCAAGAATAATCAATTTAAAGCAAGGGACAGATATGGACAAAATCAAGTTTTCTCTCTTTACCTTTCCACCAATCACTTTTTACAGACATCCAGGCTGTACATAAAAGAGTGATTAAGCTCCCTGCAGGTTTGCACCAACCTTCTGTAGGAGGAGGTAGGCAAATTACAGATGAAGACTACTCATCTTCCATGAAGAAGACAGCTTTGAAATATACCCTTTTCAGGAAGAAGAGAGCCTTGAAATATATCTTTGATGGACTGCAGTGGTGATGATGAGACAGCTCACAGATACTTAGTCTGCGAGCTCATGCTGTAGACATTTTGCACGTCCCAAAATTGTAGTGGGTGATGTTGGGACCCCCTGTATTTTGAGGTTTCACAGATGGGTGGGCAGACAGTAATGTGCCTGACTTTATTCAGCTGCTCCCAGTGTTCCAGCCTTCAAGGATATTCCAGTGACAGAACAGAGAAGCTCACATGCACTTGTGAATAGCCTACATACTCTGCCTTTGAGGTTTTTCTTGAGACGGTGTCTTGGCTGGTGGTAATCTCCTGGCTATAAAGTCAATGCTCCTCCTTTGCTTCTTTTGCAGAGGCATTTCGCAACTTAACACAAGATGGCAAAGGGATATATCTCCGGGAATCTGAGGTAAAGCCCATTCCCTGACTGTCAAATGCAGGCTCCTTTGTTGCACAGGGCACTGCATGTTTTGTTGTGTAGCATTAGAAAAGGTATCCTTAACTGACCACTTACAGTGTAGGTTAGAAACAGCAAGGAGCTTCAGGCTTCTAAGTCTTCTGCATTGTTATGACTTCTGCTCCTTCTGGAAGCAAAAAATCTCCAGTGCCCCAAAGTCCAGTCCAGGTGTGAATATGGCAGAGCTCTCAGAGGGATGGGTTATTTCAACTCACTTTCCACATTATTTTACAGTGGATGATGATGACACTTTATTCCTGAAGCAGTGCTGTAGAGAACAGGACAACCAGACCTGCAGCAGGATGTGGAAGTCTGCCTTGTTTCAACTTTCTGTGCACACTGGACTCTTTGGGTTCAGCCCTTTGATTTACCTCATATGAAAAGCCTTCTCCTCAAGCAGACTTGACCTAATAACCACAGACTTGGTGAACTGAAGTTTTACTACTAAATGGATTTATTTTAAGTCCTATTTCACTTCAGACAACCCTTCTGAGAAGAGACTGCTGGATGCCAACCACTACAAGCGCACAGTGTCACACCATGGAGCTCGGTGGCTGAGTTGTTGGGGTCACCTACTTCATGCTGATGTTGTGCTGCTGTTGTTATAGGTATACATTGTGGCAGTGCCCAGAGGCTGTGCTTGGGAATGGGGCTCTTGAGCCTGGGAGAGAAATAGCCCCCAACCCTGAGTAGTTTGTCACCTAGTAGAGGGAATCCCAGTTCTGTAGCTGCTGCCCAAGGTAGAGGACAGGAGTCTGCGTGCTTGTGGGAAAGAAGGGATGCGGGACTCTGAATGAGCACTCTGCCCTAGCCCTGACTCGAAAAGGTGATTTGCAAATGTTCAAGCCATCTCTTTTGCTTTTATAAGCCAACATAGACATATTGAAGTGAACCTAAGTTGATTTGACCAAGAGATGAGCTGGGCCTCAAGCTGTTTGTTGTGTGATGATAGCATATTTATTTCAGAAAGGCAGTGGGTTTTCTCTGCAGATTGAAAAGTACGGTGCAGTGAAAAGTAAACTGATCCCATATTGTTTTTAAGTCACTGGAGATTGGCAGGGAATGGATGTTCTCAGTAGCATGATACAGGAGCTGTCTGGTAAAAAATTTGGATATTTGTCAGTTACTTTTTATAAAAGACGAGAGTGTGTATGTGTACGTACTTTTAAATGATGTAGGCAAATGTAGGTTGTAGCTAATTAGTGAAAACTTGGTGCGTAGCTGTGAACAGCATTAGAGAACATGTTATAAGTGAGACTGTTCACGTCAAAATCCATGAGAGAGTTACTTGATGCATCTATCTGTAGGATCCTTTTTCACCTTCTTGCCACTCATTTATTTGGGCTGGAAATTTCCAAGCTAAGTGCCTGTTACAGGTTACTTCTTTGATTTTTTTTTTTTTTTAATGTTTTTTTTCCCATTCCTGCAGACAGCACATTTGTGACTCTTTTCCAGTGCACAGCCTAGTCAGGGCACCAAATGAAACCGAGCTCCAATGGGAATGAACATATAATGAAAGACCATACTCTAATGCCTTTGTAGGAAGGAGTTATATTAAGCTTGTATAGGCAGCCTTCCCTCTGGCTTTTTGTGACTTTTCTGTGACTTCATCTCATAAACATCCTTTTAGAGTGCGTGTGAGATTCAAGAATGAGGTGGACTGTGGATAAGAAAGTAAACATGAGCAAAAGACTGAGTTCAGGTGTGTGCTTACCGCTGCATTGAAGCCTGTGCAATAGCATGAGCATATTTAGAGAGGAACCCCACCACGTTTAAGTGTTCCCAGTCAGGAAGCATTAAACAGTAAAAACAACAGCGTGCACTTTATTCCCCAGAACAGTCTGTTTCTAAACAGTATCATTTTCGTACTGTTTTTATGAGAAAACTGTTCATACCAGATAAATAGGGAGCTGTGTTGGTACTTGTTTATTACAGATGATATATCTATCATCTATTGTGAGTGACCTGCTGCGGTGTCACTGGAGCCACAGGGTTCAGATCTGTGAAGCAGAGCAGGTTAGAGGGAGCAGGGATATCCAGGGCCCCTCGAGCAGCAGTGTCACAGGGCTGCCATCCTGCTGGGCTCCTGAGGAGGCAGCAGCGTCACAGGGCTGCTGTCCTGCTGGGCTGCTGAAGAAGCAGCAGTGTCACAGGGCTGCTGTCCTGCTGGGCTCCCGAAGAGGCTCCGTCAGCAGCTCCCCTGACAAAGCACGTGCCCTTTCCCAAATGCCATGCCTCTGCTTCCTTTTGTGACTTGCAGCTGAACATGATGGTACAAACTAAATTACCCTGATTTAATTTGCACTCAACTCAGCAGGGGATGTTATAAACACTGATTTACTGTGTGCAGGAGTAGCACTGGAACAGCCGAAAAGGTTGATTAGGAGAGCGTAGGTCCCGCTTTTCCAGCGCGCTCTGAAAAAGATGATCCCTGGCACCCACGGGGATGGGCAGGGAGGTCTGTGTGAGTGCAGAGTGTTCTCAGCAGGGCTCTGTTGGACATGATGGGATGGGAATCTGTCGGCCCCGACTGGGTTTGTTGCACAATGTGTGTAATCAGCTGACCAAGAATCATTTAAGGCTGGACGTAGCTCTGCCATGGGCTGTGCGCAAAACTGTGGTGCAGGACACCCAGTCTCAAACTGCAGTTCATTTTAATGTACACATTGTTTTTTCTATCAGATTTTGTACTTATTTACTTCACATCTCTTTAATGCAGAGCAATGTAATTGCAGGGAGATTATTTTGCTATTGATTACTTGATCCAGGAAAGAAACAGAATTCATCCATGCCATGAATCACTAAGCATTTGCAGCAATAAACTTTATTGAGCCATGTGACTTGCTGTTACAGAATTGTAAAGAATGCTTTACTGGAATGATTATACCAAACCGTGTACAATTCAAACTGAATTATCTGGCTCACAATAAAATGTTTTTGGCAAGGGCACCTACTCGGACACTGTGAGGCTTTTATATTGCTAACAGAATAATGTTTTCTGGGCAATTCTGAAGATATATTACTCCTCATTTACAATGTGCATTGTGGAAAAATGGTCTAAAATGCTGCTGAAGGATGCATTCGTTTGTAACCAGAGCATTTGTGGAGATGCTGAGCTTTGCAGAGGGTGGTATTGCTCTAGCAGAAATGAAAGAAAAGTGAGGCTGTGGCTTGAGACTAGCATTGTTAATAAAAGTTCTTTTTTGAGAAGGCAGGTGCAAGAATAGCAAATAATACCTGAATTGGTAAGAGGAGCTGGATGGTGAGGTATACTGTAACAATAAGACTGAGATGAAATTGAAAGGAACTAATCTACACTTTGCAAACAAAATATTCAGCTAGAGCTTATTGCTGCAAGATACACACACACAGCTGGAAGTATTTCATGTTTCCTGGATATAGTTGGTGCACATGTTCAGTGTGCAGTTGGGGTACAGCAGGCACCTGTCAGCCTCTCTGTGTGCACTCTGCATGCTCAGGGCTTCTGAAGAGATGGCAACAGGACAGGCTCTACTCTCAAGCCTAACAGGATTCAAAAAGGAGCTATGACTTAATGGAATGACAGGCATAGCTGGAGAGGTCATGGCTTCAGTGAAGAGCTGTGCAGAAGACAATATCTGGCTTCAGGCAAAAGGGGAAGAGCTGTTCTGGGGGCAACATGGGGCTCTTTCCCTTTAGATAGCTAGACATGACCACCTTTGGAGAGATACCAACGTGGTCTAGGTTTGAGATTGAGTATATCTGTGTATTTCTTTCTGAGCAATCAATTAAAATTTGAAGGTCTACATGCTGTTGAGACACTGCAGTGTAATTCTGTGCCTGAGATCACATCTCTCCTTTTCACCAGTTTTACAGTGGGATCAACAAGATTCCTGCCTAACCTAAAAGCATATTGCAATCCTTTGCTGGGAGGTGTTATATTCATGTAAGTGGCTACTGCACAAACCACCATCGTGGTTGGCCAAGCTATGCCAGTGAATTTTGATCATACCACGAAGATGCTCTGTGTAGAATGAATAATGTTGGTTTGTTTTTAATTATTAAGCACTACATGTAATCCTAACTCCACAATCCAGAAGTGGACCTCTAAAGGGCAAGTTGTCATTGTACCCAAGCCATAAAAATTTGAAGCTTTTGAAAGGAAAAACTTGTTTCCAGGGGCATTTGGTGCCTGAAAACTAGTCACTGAGCAGAGTGGGTACAAAGTGTCCCAGTAGTGCAGGCCTTTGCATGGGGAAGTGATGGGAATGCAGAGACAACCTGACAACATGGAGCCAAAGCCATTGCTAAATCCAGGTGTCCACCAGTCCTCGCTCACCCTCTCTCCAGTCCTGCAACCCCACCATGAGATTGTAACCTTGAAGTCTTTTTTTGTTTCCTTTGTGAGCTGTTAAGGCCAGTGTTTCAAGCTTTCTGCCCAAACACTGAGGGCTGTGGAGACGTTTCTCCCATAATCAGTCCTGCTAGACTCTAGCTGATTGTAACCCTGTGCTCCAGTGTGGAAGAGGGATGAAAATCTGTACTGTGATACACAGGCTGATATTTTTATCCAGATTCAGAAAAGTGAAGGGCAGAAATCCCTTTTGATATTATATATAGTGCCATAGTGCTGAGAGGAGGAAGATCAGGTCCCCAGGGTGATGGCTGCTATGTGACAAGAGGAGCAGCATTTGCTGTCTACTTAGAAAAAGAAGTACTTCTGCAGTTGCCCGGGGGAGTGATCTGTCTGTGTTCAGCCTGGAGCTCTGTTAAGACTTGACCTGGACCTCAGTCTCCTGAAGTCCAGCCCACCAGCTCCTCTTCCCTTTGCGTGCCAGACCATTGCTGCTCTGGAATCCCCATACTGCTGTGAGCCAGATTTTTCCCATAAGCAACACTTCTTTCTCACTGGCACCCAGGAGCTCAGGTTAGGATGCCATGCCAAGGTTTGGGGCTTGGTAGGAAGCCAGCAATTGCTGGGTAGTTCTTCTGCACCCCTCTATCTCCACGCAAACTGCCCCACATACCTGTGCACCCCTCGTAGCCTTCCTTAAAAATTGTTGCAATGCTGCACTGAAATAGAAGCTGAAAAAGATCTTCTTATTTTTTTCTCTCCCCTGCTCAGGGAGCAGCTCCTTGCAGAATGAAATGCTAACGAGTGCCTTTGCCTTTCCTTCCTGCTATGTCTTACACTGAATTAGACCTGAAAAGCAGTATCGCCAAGCTTGAAGTTCAATTTATCAGTGCAGTCAGGATTGATTTGTTACACTACCTATTCTGGGGAAATGAATGTCTCCATCGTGCTCCCTTCCAGTGCAGGCAGACCTTTGTTTTGCTCAGATCAGCCATGTAATGTAGGAAGCTGACGTTCCACAGATAAAGGAAAAAACCTACAAAATCCTGACTAATTCTACCCAGCCTGGCAGTGCCAGAGACTGATGCCACTTGCAAAGGACACGCTTGGCGTTGTGGTGGCTGCAGATACCAAGCAGAAGTGCTCTCTGCGTGGGCTTATCTGCTACTTTTTTGTTGTTGAATAAGTGGTAAAAAGTGCCATACAAAATTACTGTTGGGTGAATTACATGTCTGCTTTATCACTATTAATGTTATAGCCAGACCATCATGTTGATCCTTGGAACTCAAATCCACAATAAGAGTCAGGTTGAAAACAAACTTGGGTTTTGTACAGATTTTCAGCTGTTTTGTGAGACAAGAAAAATGGACTTTGCTACTGCTGTTGAGGAGGAAAATTTTTACTCATAATCTAGCACAGGGGATCTCTGGTAAGAGAGCAGGCAATTATAAATTCAGTTTTCTCTTGAAGCCCATTTTGATGGAATATTTACAGTGAACCACATACAAATGTGGGAATTGAATTTTCAGATTCAAGAGACCCAAAATGTGGATTGCTATGAAGTGTTATAATTTTAAAAGACTCTTTTTTTTTCTCCTAACTTGTCATTTACTCACATCTAATGTGGAGGGAAGGGTTAAGAGTGAGCACCCTGCAGAAACATGGGGAGATCCTCACACTCCAGCAAATGTGGCTACAAGAAGGATGTCTTCAGCTGGTGCTCATTAGGCGAGGCAAAACGAAAGAGGTAGTTGCTGTAAAGTAGCTTTTTTTCCTCAGGTAAAAGCAGGATTTCCTTCTCATAAATACGCTGAAGCTAGACATAAATGACTTATTGCTTGAAAGCAGCTCTGCACTGCTGAAGAGTAGGAGCTCATGAGTGAGAAATTTGGTCTCAAGCAACCCTGACTGGGTGCTTTCAGTCTGCTGGTAGCAGCAATGCTGCTTTTATCTGGGGCTGGGGCTGCTGGAGGGTCCTGCCTCTGCAGCTAAACTCTGAGCTTCCAGAGAATGCCAGAAGTGGGATTATGTCTGTGATAGCCTCATTACCATAGCCTCTCCCTTTCCACTGCCCTCTTCAAAACCAAAGTGTTAGCTAGGAATACTGCTCCAGAAACTGGGGCCATGCCTGCTCTATAAGTCTCTAGATACAGCCCCCCATTGGCCTGTTTACCCTAAAAATGGAGCAGATGATGCAGAGCTTTGGAGCACATAATGAGCATGCCCCTTCCAGAGAAAAGATTGTGGAAAATGGCCATGAGCCAATTTTGGATACAGTGAATATCTTGAAGGGCTGCACACCTTTGGGTATGAGATTTCATGTTGCCTCTTCAATGCAACTTGGGTGCTTATTGCCATTTATTGTGTTTCCCTTTAAAAGGAAAAAGAAAACAATCTCAACATCACACCCTCCTCCTACCTGCACCTTAATCTCAAAAGAGTCATAACCGCTGTCTTAAGAACTGTCTCCTACTCTCAGGGCATATACACATTACCAAAAAATTAGAACTGTAGGGCTGAGGCATTCTCCCTGATCCCCCAACTGCCATTAGTTCCAGTTGTTCATTAGCTCCAGCTTGGCAAACTAATGTCTGAAGTAATACAGGAACTGACTCATGTTGTACCATGTGTCCCAGCACCGGGGTCTGACTGCATCCATGAGACTGCTGGGACAGACCACTGGAGGTTCTATTTTAACTTGGAGCCGTGCTTGTCACAGAGCCCTTTTCCGAGCCCAGGTGATGCCCACGCTGAGTGCATCCCTTGTGGACAACCATCGGCATTGCGCTCCCTGCCTTTCGGCGATGCTGGAGAAACGTCAGCCTGACGTTGAGATGCTCGTCCTCAGGGACTCTGACAAGCCATGACTCCCGGCCTCCCAACACTCACCGGGCCAATACAGACAATAAATAGCCATGAGCATCTCCAAAGGGGTTTGATTTGAAGGGCTCATTATTTTTGAACAGCTGAGTTGAGCATTACTGAGAACTCAATTTCCATTTCAGCTTGCTTTTCTGCTTGTGCAGGGCAGAGTGTGGGAGCAAGGCTTGGGCACTTCACAGCCTCTACCGTCTGGATCAATATTTTCCAATGTGCACAAGTTTCCAAGAGTTTAAAGCGCTGAGTTTTGCAGAACTTTAATTGTATCAAATGCAAAAAAGAAAGGGATACTCTATCAAACTAACACATAACTAAGCACATAAAGAATTTAGGGGATAAATTAACAGAAAATAATTCATATGCTGCAAGAATAAACTGCTGAGTCTAGTAGAAGGAACTGCAATTTATTCTTAATTTTTGTTTTTTATTTTTATGGTTTACAAGTACTTGGAAATACAAAATGGCAAGAGAAAGGCCATGTGGGGGTGCCATTCCTCAACTCTACTCTTTAAATTATGAAAATGTTGCAATAGGTTTGAAGACCATAAAAAAATTTCTATCAACTCTGACTAGCTGAAGCAGCTGAAGTAAGCTGAGAAGTCCACATTGCCTTGCTGAATTAAGGTGCCAGAACCTGAGCTAGACACAGCTGTCACTGGAGAACTTACTATGACAGGAAATAAGCCCTTCCCGCTGTGAGGCAGACATTCTTCCTCTCTCAAATTTTTT